TATAGTAATCTCTGAAGCTTTACCGGTACCATACTTTGGTGGTCTCCCTTTGTCTTCTTTACAGGTACCTACAGATACTCAGCCTGATCATGAGGAACCTATCGTTTCTCTGCCAGATCATTACCAGCTTGATCCTCCCCAACAACCAATCATCACTTACCAGCGACGTCCCAAGGCAGCCATTCCTACAACCGAGGTAGTCACTGAGGATCCTTATACTTCATGTCCTATCCCAATGGCTTTTCCTACTACGGACCTACCTTCCTCTACTGCACCAGCATCAACTCTCGGTAAGTCTGTCAGTGATTCTCCTATTGCTATTCGTAGAGGTAGTCGTACCACTCGTAATCCTCATCCTATTTATAACTTCTTGAGTTTTCACCGTTTGTCTCCGTCATATTATGCATTTGTATCCTCTGTGTCCTCTGTTCAGATTCCTAACACTGTTAATGAGGCTCTTTCCCACTCTGGTTGGAGGCAAGCTATGATTGAAGAGATGACTGCCCTTGAGCACAGTGATACATGGGACTTAGTTCAACTTCCCCGAGACAAAAAGGTTGTTGGATGTCGTTGGGTATATGCAGTTAAGGTAGGCTCTGATGGCAGTATTGATCGACTTAAAGCCCGTCTTGATCGACTTAAAGCCCGTCTTGTTGCTAAAGGATACACTCAGACTAATGGTCTTGATTATAGTGATACATTCTCTCCAGTGGCCAAAATGGCATATGTTCGTCTATTCCTAGCCATCGCCGCTATTGGGCAATGGCCCTTATATCAGCTAGACATAAAGAATGCCTTCCTTCATGGCGATCTAGATGAGGAGATTTATATGGAGCAACCACCTGGTTTTGTTGCTGAGGGGGAGTCTGGACTAGTTTGTAAGTTAAAACGGTCTCTTTATGGGTTGAAACAATCTCCTCGAGCTTGGTTTGGCAAGTTCAGCACAGTTGTACAGAAATTTGGGTTATTTAGGAGTGAAGCTGATCATTCAGTTTTCTATCGTCACACTCCCTTTGGTCGATGTATTTATCTGGTGGTTTATGTTGATGATATAGTGATTACAGGTGATGATAATGAGGGTATTTTGCAGTTGAAGGAGCACTTGTTTCAACACTTTCAAACAAAAGATTTGGGACGACTCGAATACTTTCTCGGTCTTGAGGTAGCTCAATCACAAAGTGGCATTGTGCTTTCACAACGAAAACATGCTCTAGACATTTTGGAAGAGATTGGTTTAACAGATTGCAAGCCTGTTGACACTCCAATGGATCCAAATCACAAGTTATTACCAAATCAAGGAGAACTGTATTCAGATCCTGACAGATATAGAAGGTTAGTTGGCAAACTAAACTACCTTACCTTAACCAGACCAGACATCTCCTTCCCGGTAAGCGTAGTAAGTCAATTTATGCAAGCTCCGTGTATTGAGCATTGGGATGCTGTGGTTCAAATCCTACGATATATTAAGAATGCTCCAGGAAAAGGATTGTTGTATGAAAATAAAGGTTATGCTAAGATTATGGGATACTCTGATGCTGATTGGGCTGGATCACCCAGTAACAGAAGATCAACTTCAGGATTTTGTGTATTTATTGGTGGTAATCTAGTATCTTGGAAAAGTAAGAAACAAAATGTGGTTGCAAGATCCAGTGCAGAAGCTGGATATCGTGCAATGGCAAATGTTACATGTCAACTCATATGGGTAAAACAATTACTTCAAGAGTTGAAGTTTGGAGATACTAATCAAATGAGACTCTACTGTGATAATCAAGCTGCATTGCATATTGCATCAAATCCCGTCTTCCATGAAAGGACCAAACGCATTGAGATTGACTGCCATTTTATCAGAGAGAAAGTCCTTTCTAAAGAAATCCTCATTGAATTTGTTAACTCAAGCTATCAGCTTGCTGATATTCTTACTAAGTCACTGAGGGGACCAAGAATACAATTTATCTGTGACAAGCTTGGTGCATATGATATATATGCTCCAGCTTGAGGGGGAGTGTCAGAATACCCACTCCTCATCATCTTCATTATTTGCTGTATGTATAATTGAGGAATGGGTTTCCATTCCACCATGGGTTTCTATGTTAGTATAGGTCTCCATGCTTTTCTTTATTGAAGTTCTTGTACATTATTGCTGAGTGTATTGATTATAAATACAATAGAGCTTCAGAGAATTCTCTAAGCTATTCCAATATCTCTTTCTACAGTGATTTATGATTGAATTTGAAATCATGTGTAATTGTGATTAATTAATAGTGGGAAGATAGCTTTTGGGATGGTACCTTCTATAAAGTGATGAACACAACTTTTAGGCTTTATGCCTTCGATATTTATGTGATGTGAAAAGATGATATCCGTTCTTCTCAAAGTGGTATCTAGTAGGGTTTCCCGGTGTACTAGTAGCAACTTTGGAAAGAGGTGTACACACTAGGAAGAGATGTTTTGATAATGGCTAAATTTGATTATACATGAATGACAGGGTTTCCTGGGTCACATGGTAGACTGACAGTGTTTCCCGGGTCTACCATGGTTCTCTTCACACTAGTGTTCTAAATAAAGATAAATATGATGAATAATGAAATTAATATTTGATTTGATTATTACGTTTAAGATAAATATGATGAAAGATGAAATTAATATTTGATTTGATAATTATGTGAATATTTGAATTATATTTTGGATTGGGATTACCAGTGTTTGCTGATTATTGTGTTTGTGTTTTTGTGCTGCAATGATCCTTCGGGGGAACAGAATTTCAATGAAGCAGGTTGATTATATTTTGGATTGGGATTACCAGTGTTTGCTGATTATTGTGTTTGTGTTTTTGTGCTGCAATGATCCTTCAGGGGAGCAGAATTTCAGTCAAGCATGTTGCAAAGGTTAGGGCTAGTAGTGAGCATTGAAGATAACGTCTCAGACATTTCAAGCTATGTTTAGGATTTAATAAATGTATGAGATATATATTTAGATTATGGATTTACATTTTAATTTTTAAATACTTACATAGAATATATTTTGGAATAAGATTATGATAAAGTTAGTCTTGCACTTGTCGTTGTTACAGGTGCGGCGGTAACATTTCTCTAAATTAGTTTTAGATTAGCTTCCACAGTATTTATAATATCCTAAATAATAATTAAATGTGAATTTTGGTAAATCTATTATAACAAAAATATTTACAAAAATTGTAAGAAATTTGGGGGTGTTACAACCTAAATATTATAATTTCAAAAGTAACAAGAAACCTATCATTCCAAAGAGTATTAAATATTGAATCAATCATTACACTGTGCAGGACCATGATATTTTCCTCAGGCTTTCCATGTTTCACCAATGATGTTGCTAGCTAAACCTATTTAAGCACGTAAGTTATAATGAGCCAGGACTCACTTTTTCCTTCATACTCATTTTTCTTTTTAAATATTTTGATCCTGCAAGGATTGTAACAAATTCTTAATATACTGACTATCTAAGAATCATTAATATCTATTGTCCAGTTCAAATAATTCTGAATAAGGCTTTTTTAAGACAATCTAGTGATTGTAAACTGGGTATTGACTACAACTCTGTTTATTAATGTTAAGTGTTAAATTGCCCAAAGTCTTAAGCGGTTACATAGACTCAGAGAGACACATGAATGGTTCCATATCTCTAATATGCCTCTTTACACAAAAAACCCTTTGGGTTTGAAGCATAGACAAAGCACAAACCCAATCAAATCTGGTGCTGATCTAAAATTATAATTTAATAAGGTGCGAAGGATCAAACATTCAAACTCATGAGCACTTTGATATAATGTCAAAAACTAACTCTCCCAAAAACTTAAATTGTTAGGTAGAAGTACATAAAAAGTTTTACATCTTTAACAACTAAGCATTGGAAGAGCCCTCAGCAAACCAAGCATGAAGCAGAATAAAATAATTACCATGACATAAAACTACCATATTGAGCATTTTTAAAACAAAAAAAAAAAAGGCCGACCCAGTTCAAGACCCACTCCGTGAGGGTCTGGGGAAGGGAAATTTGAGTCAAGCCTCACCCCTGCTTTGCAGGGGGGCCGAGTCGAACCCCTGACCTGGAACACCACAGTAAGCAAGCTTACCGCTGAGCCAGGCCGGCCCTTCAGCATTTTTAAAGCAATAGTTTGAAATAATATCTTCGTGATACAACAAATTATTCTTAATCTTACTATCATACATAAAGTAATAGAAAATATTTAGTTTGAATTATTAATCCTAATAAATTTCATTCTACCCATTTTTGTTCATTCCAAGTTTTCTGTCAAGGGGGTTTCCATCTTTTTTTTTTTTTTTTGAGTAAATACTCAATTTGGTTCTCTAAGGATTAAAATAGATGTAAGCGCTTACTCAATCCAAAAGCTTAAACTGTTAGCTGAAAGTCATATTAATAATTTTATATGATATTTCTACAACACACCCCCTTAAACAAGAGTCCATTGGATTTGAAGGGTTTATAATGCACAAGCCCACCTATTCGTGTTAAGAAACTCCAAAGATCAAACTCTTGACCACTTGGTCACAGAGACTCAAATACCATATAAATCGTTAATTCAACTCAAAAGCTTAAGCTGGTAGATGAAGGTCACATGAAAATTTTTATATATTTCTCTTACAATATACATCAATATGGTCCTACTATCATAGTACTTCGTGGATCATAGATACTGAACAAATTCATAGAACCCAAACTAAAACTAGTTCTGCCAGTTCCATATGGTCTCCATAGAACTGGAAAGAAACATAGATCTTTTATTTTTTGGGAAAATACAGATCCTATTTAATTTGACACAAAGATCAGGAATAGAACAATGGGGAGAGAGGAGGCTAGATTCTAGGTCAAACAGATAGGAAAAAACCACAAGATGTTCAACCCATGCTACAGCTAGTACTGTCATTCACATATTACTTTTTAACTAAAGAAGCATAAAAAATTTCACATGTATAAACTTTAAAGGCCAATTAAGGATGCCATACCCGGGTCATGACATCTGCATTTGGATTCCAATTGTTGAAGTCTCCAATTAATGCTGCTGACTGAAAATGCAACCAATAATATCCATAATGGTTTGCAGAGAAAATAAAAACCAGCTATAAAGAGATTGATTAAGTTTAACATTTAAAGACACACCACAGAACAACATCCAAAACCAGATTTTCTCCAAAATTTACTTGAAAATATATAACGATAAAATGGTAAAGGGGAAGGAGAGTGAGGAAAAAGACAGACACCGCTGCTTAAAAAAATATACTAATGTCTCCCGAGGTAAATCCTGAATATGATCTTTCCAATAGAATGCATTTTTTTTTTCTGCCCAAATGAATGCATTTACACCTTCAGGCAATTTGCAATTATTATTCTCACTATATTGAGAGTAAGTCAGTAACCATAAGTACAGTCTGTAACTAAAGTAAATGGATGAATTTAATCAATGTATAGATGACAAAGTTTAGTTCATTAAAGCAACTTAGAGAACTCCATTAACTATTAAGATATATGAAAAGGTTGAGAGTCGTTATATGCAAACTATTTGAATGCTCTGAAAACCTGCAATAGTGCTCTTACAAAAATGTATACTGAAGCGGAGTGTTATATTAAAATAATCCAAGTGATTTATACTCTAAAACAGTTCAAAATAGTAGCCGTACCCGTTCGAATACTTCAGATACTCCTAGCTGCATTTTATAATTTTTTTACTTTTATGTTTTGAACTTTTATACCTATACAGATGGGAATACCACAATTATTAGATAAATGATAGCATTTTGTTATACTCAAGGTAACTTTTAAAATACCAATTCTCTCATTTGATTTAAGATTTGTGTCTGTGTTAATTTTATATGTTGTACTATAGCCGTGTCATGTCCTATATTTTTAAAATTTGTTGTATCCCAATGTCTCATGGCATATCCATGCTTTCTAGGAATCTGCAAAATAATTTGAACCAAAAAACTAGAACCAATGTTGATACCAAGAATTATAATGTATACCTTAGCTCCAGGTGCCCACTCTCTGTAAGTAATGCCTGTAGCACTGCAAATAAAAGCTTGTAGTCAATAAAGATCCAAGACAAAGCATTCTTTTTCTTTCTTTCTTTTTTTCTTTTTGTTTGTGTGGGTTGGGGAGGGTGTTGTTAGGAATTCAACTAGAAAGTAGGGATGCAGAGATATGTGCATAATTTCCTTATTTCCTTTATTATGTACATTTATTGTCATACTATTGTACTTACCTTGTAATATCATTACTTAATATTAAAAATACAACGCTAGAGGAAATTTTATTCCACTGACTCATTCACACAATTTTACATAGAATCATGAGCCTAGGATAGAACAATAAATTATTTTTCATCATTCATTTTCTCTCTCCTTTCTCATGGCTGCAATATCAGTCTTGTAGATCTAAAGTGTGTTTCTCCACCAAACAACCCCACCACTTTGTTCACCGTCCTCAACCCGGGATCTTGGCAGAAGCTTGTTGCTGCCGGAGCACAGATGTCCCACCATGCACCACTCACTAGAAACTGCTCAGCCAGCCTTTATTGTGTGTGTGGGGGACAGCATACTCTAATCCTCTTCCTTGGTTTTCTTTACTCCAGTTAGATCGAGCAACCCTCACCCTTGTTCACCACCTTCTCGTGGCTGTTTAGTTCTCCTGGGCTGTGGTTTCTCAATGTTCAGTGATCAAATCTGACATATTCTCCTTCTCGACATCAGGTTTGATATGTTTGAGCCATTCATTGGCTTTGATTATGGTGGTTATTTTTACTTTGTGCTATTTGGACCTTCATTATTTCTACTTGTCCTTCATCTTTGTAAAGTAGAAAGAATGAAATCTAGGAAGACTGTATCCAATGTGGGTGCAAGTTTCTGTATTTATATTCAGCAAATTAGGTTAGTAGTACACAGTGATACAAAAATCTCCTCTGCACACTAATCACGTGCAAAATATGAGAACCCCCTAATTAGGAAAATATATTAGAAGAAATAAGCATGCGTCCAAAGAACTAAGTGAGCCAGCCGCTGTTAGTTAGGCATTGTTAGTTAAAATTGTTTGAGAAGATGTAACAGATAGTTAGTTGAATGACAATGCCTCTGTTAGTTAGTTAGTTGTTAGAGTTGATTTGGCTAATGCATACCGCTAAGAATAGTGGTTTAGAAGTCCCACATCATGTATTTCTCATTGTATTTCCTTTCCTTTCAATTATATAATAGAACTTCCGTTATGTAGTTTAGACACACGAATTACTCATAAATCTCTCGGATCCTGATATTTAACATGGTATCAGAGCCTAACGAGAGAAATCCTAATCCGCCTTCCCTTATTTCTCTTTTCCATAATTTTAATGTGGTAATAGAGAGATATCACCTTCCATGAGGGATTTCCACCGCCGTCATTTTTTTTTCTTTTTCTTTTTTCTTATCCCCTTTGTCTCTATTTTTTAATTTTTTATTTTATTCAAGTCTGATATGGCTTGATTTGGTCTTTGTTTCCACTTTGCCATTGTTTGACATATTGTTATGATTAGGCTTGTATTTGGCCAATTTGATTTCATTCCTACATATGTTTGTGGTGTTATTCAAGTCTGATTTTGCTTGTATTTTTTTCCCATTGTTTGGCTTTATTTTTGGCCTCCTATTTGGGAGGAGCATTTACCTCGGTTGTTGCTTGGTCTGTAGATTATTCCAGTTACAGTAGCTTCGTCGGCTTTTATCCCAGTTGCAGCACTGTCTCTTTGCCAGCTCTTCAGACTGTTGGTTATTCCAGTTGATTTGTTGTGCTACCAATTTCTCCGGCTTATGTTCTGTGAAGCTTCGTTTTTAATCTTCTTACTTCCCAAGATGGAGTGTTCTTGCTATTCACCCTCCATCTTGAGGGGGAGCGTTAAGAAGTTCCCCATTCAAGGGGAGCACCGCTCATGTTGCTGATGTTCATTCCAGCAGCTCAGTTGTTTTTGCCGATGATCATCCCGGCACTGTATGCTGATGGTCATTCTACCTCAGTTGTCTTTGCCGTGTTCATTCCGGCACCGTCCATGGTGTTGATATTCATTCCAGCACAGATGTCTTAGCCTATGTCCATCATTCGTCGATATCTATCCCGATGCCATTTTAGCACATTGTTGATTTTGCTTCCTCATTTAGGAAGAGATTTATTTTGATGTTATGTTTGTTGGTCTTTCTTGTTCAAGCTTGTTTCATATGATTTATATGCTCGAGCTTGAGGGGGAGTGTTAAGAATATTGGTTTAAAAATCCCACATCATGTATTTCTCATTATATTTCCTTTCCTTTCAATTATATAATAAAACTTCCGTTGTGTAGTTTAGACACACGAATTACTCACAAATCTCTCGGATCCTGATATTTATCACATACAAAACCTGGCTAAAAATCTTGGACAATTCGCCCCTTCTCCTCCACAGCTCTTGATTTTAGCTCTTGATTTTGTTCTTATTGTTCATGGTTGTCTACTCTATTCAATCTTACATCTATTCGTAAATTAATCAGTTGTATCAATTGTTCTATTATTTTCACTGATGATTGTGTTCTTGTGCAAGACCAGGATATAGAAAAGACGATTGGCAAGGGGTAAGCCCATCTTACAATGCCTTCATTCCATGCTACCTTCACATATGTTGTTTCACCTTTTCGTCTCCATAGTTGGCTAGGCCATCCTAGCAGCTCCAAGTTTCAGAAAATCATTCCTAGTTTGTCGTCTTTAGAGTGACTCATATCACCTTGGAAAACATGTTTGTAGTTAGTTTCCCAAGCATGTCAATAATCAGGTAGTGTCCTCATTTGATTTAGTACACACAAATGTCTGAGTTCCTACTTGTATCCCCACAACTTTGGGAATTAGTATCTTGTGACTTTTATTGATGACTTCCACTTGTAGTTTGTCACGTTTTAAGGGACAAAAATATACTAATTAACTTCTAAGCTGAGTCAAAAAACATGAAATAAGTTATTATAATTAAAATGCCAAAACTTGACATTTTAGGAAAAATTGCTAAATATAAGTGATTCTTGCTTTTTTGCAGGTAAAATACAGTTAATTGGATAAAGGATGCACTTGGATAAGACAAGGACAATAGAGAGTCAAGGAAGCATCTCTAAGATTAAGAAGGAAAATCATAGCGATCGTGATAAGTTCGGGCATAGCAAACCACCTTATGGAAATCATGTTCCCAAACATAAAATCTCCATGATGCTGTCTTTCGGCCAAAATTTCATATTAAAGATGATAGATTTGGATCTTGAAGTCATCACACAAATTGTAGATTTGGATCTTGAAGTCATCACACAAATTGTAGATCTTCCTCTTATCTTACCAACGAGACCAAAATCACATAAATCAAAAGAGTACAATCAAGTTAGATTAGAAACAAGAAAGCAATGCGCATACCTGCCATACGGGCGTCTAGGCATGCAATTTGCATGCCTAAGCACCCAGAGCATCAAAATATGGTTGCTTTGGTCTCATTAGTGTCTAGGCGCGCAATCTGCAAACCTAAGTACCCAGAACATAAAAAGTGCATATATTTTTGGCTATAAGTCGAGGCGTCTAGAATGCACGAGCACTAGGTTCGCTAAAACAAAGCCCAATTGTAGAAGGTCCAAATCATACACTATTCGCCTATAAATAAGAGATTACCATCTAGGGTTACTAAGTCTTGCTTCTAGATAATCCTCCTATAGCCACCCGCAAAAGTATTCATTCTAGTAGTAACCTCATCATATTTATAATTTTCTAAGTTACCACGCTTGCTTACTTGTAATCTCTGTCCTCTAATTCTATTCCTATGTATCCAAAGGACTCTAGCAACACTTCAAATTTAGTTCTTCTTCCCCTGGGCAAGTCTACGGTTGGGTGTCAAGGGATCTATACTCTATGCTGTTAAAGTTGGCCCTGACAGGCTGATTGACCGCTTGAAAGCTCGTCTAGTGGCCAAGGGCTATACTTAGATCTATATTTGAACTATGGTGATACCTTCTCTACTGCTGCCAAGATTGTTTCTGTTTGTCTTCTTCTCTCCGTGTTTGTCATTCGTCATTAGCCTCTCTTTCAACTTGATTTTGAGAATGCCTTTTTCTGTATGGTGAGCTTACCAAGGAAATATATGGAGCAACCTCCTATGTTTATGTTGAGATATATAAGGTTCTTTACATGGTATCAGAGCTTGAGTGACTATAAGGTCACAAGTTCGATTCTCACGGCCCCCCACTTTCAAGTGGAATTAAAATAAAAAGCACAAAAAAGGTATACCAAAAATTGGGCCTCTGCAATTCCACGCTTCTAGCCCAAAGGGCTCTTATGTGAGGGAGTGTGTTAGAGAATAATAATCATTAAAAAAATCCTCACCTAACACCTTAAGGTTTTGGGTTGAAGTGGTTCTTTACATGGTATCAGAGCCTCACCGTCTCCCACTTTAAAGTGGAATTAAAACAAAAAGCACAAAAGGTAAACCAAGAATTGGGCTTGTGCATAATCCACGCTTCAAGCCCAAAGGGCTCTTGTGTGAGGGGGTGTGTTGAGATATATAGTCCCACATTGGTTGTATGAGTAACTAATACGGAGTTTATAAAGCTTTGGGCACTCCCACCCCTTGAGCTAGCTTTTGGAGTGGTGTATCCCAAGGTTCTTTACATGGTATCAGAGCTTGAGTGACTATAAGGTCACAAGTTCGATACTCGCCGTCCCCCACTTTCTCTTGTGGAGTTTCTTAGCACAGGTAGGTTGGGCCTGTTGCATCGTCCACTCTTCTAGCCCAATGGGCTCTCGTGTGAGGGGGCGTGTTGAGATATATAGTCCCACATTGATTGTGTGGGCAACTAATATGGCCTTTATAAGGCCTTGGGCATTCCCACCCTTTGAGCTAGCTTTTGAGGTGGTGTATCCCAAGGTTCTTTACATGGTATCAGAGCCTCTCGCTGTCCCCCACTTTCTCTTGTGGACTTTCTTAGCACAGGTAGGCTGGGCCTGTTGCATCTTCCACTCTTCAAGCCCAATGGGCTCGCGTGTGAGGGGGCGTGTTGAGATATATAGTCCCACATTGGTTGTATGTGCAACTAATGTGGAATTTATAAGGCCTTGGGCACTCCCACCCTTTGAGCTAGCTTTTGGGGTGGTGTATCCCAAGGTTCTTTACAGTTTATGGCTTAAATCAGTCTCCATGGGCATGTTTTAGGTGATTAAGCATAGTAGTTCAGCAATTTAGCATGATTCACAATGAGGCAAATCACTATGCTTTTTATTGCAAATCTCTACAACATCAAAGCATTTATCTAACTGTAAATGTTGATGATATCATCATCATAGGCAATGATGAAGATGGCATTAGTAAACTAAAACAACACCAATTTGGTCACTTTCAGAACAAGGATTTATGGCACCTTAGTATTGAGATAGCTTAGTCCTCAACAGGTATCAATATTTCTTAGAGAAAGCATGCTCTTGATATCTTAGAGGGAACTCGTTTGTTAGATTGTCGACCTATAGACAATAATGGATTCAAACACGGAGCTTTTACTTATGAGGATAGCCCTTATCAGATCTTGAATGATCTCGCCATCTCCGAGGCTTGTTGGAAAACTGAACTACCTTATCATCACTCGACAAAACATTTCCTTTGTTGTTAAGTGTAGTTGGTCAGTTCGTACAATCTCCATGTGATAGCCATTGGAACACAATAAGTGGAATACTCAGGTATATAAAAGGAGGATCCTGCCAAGAACTTCTATACAAAGACAATGGTCATTCCCAAGTCTGGCTTTTCAGATGCAGATTGGGCTAGTTTCCCCTTAGATACGAGATCCACCTCAAGTTGATACTTAATGATTGGAACTTCGGAAGCAACTTAGTTTCTTCGAAAAATAAGAAACAAGGTATTAGGCTATGGCACTGGTAACATGGGAACTTGTATGGCTAAAACATTTACTCCAAGAATTGAGATTTGGTGATGTTAAGCAGAAGCAACCAATATGCAATAATCAAGCCGCTTTAAACATTGCCTTCAATCCAATGTTTCATGACGACTAACATATATAAGTAAAATGCCACTTTCTAACAAGAATTTGTTTGGATGCTTTGCCACTAGCTTTGTGAATCCCAATTATCAGTTAGTAGATGTATGCATTAACTCTCAAAGGATCTCAAGTTACATTTGTAGCAAACTTGGTGCACATAATTTATATGCTCTAGCTTGAGGGGGAGTGTATAAATATTAGAGACATGCGCACAATTTTCATATTTCCTTTTTTATGTACATTTATTGTTGTACTATTGTACTTACCTTATACTAGCATATTACGCAGTATTATAAATAGAATACAAGAAGACATTGTAATTCACTAAATCATTCACACAATTTCATGTTTCTATTTTTCTCTCTAAAAGGGATTTAGGGTTTTATTATTGGGAAATTGAAATTTTAGTTTGGTTGTTTTTTACAATGTCAAATTATTAATACTAGTTAAATATAACTTATAGCCTATTAAGGTTTTACTTTAGTTGCCACTTCCCATATTTCTTCTTCTAGTTAGATTAGGGTCATTTGAGTTGCTGCATTCACCGATTATACAAGGCTTAATCTCCAAGGATCTTCAATCTAGTGGGTATTTTTTATATTGTTCATTGGTCTGCATTAGATATGTCAGATTGATATCGCCATTAATCATCTTAAGAATGTGACATCATTAAATTATGAAACAGAAAAAGTTGTGTGCATGTGTGTGATATTAACCAATAAAAATAAGTGTAACGTAATACCTGCGGGTGAAGCCAAATTTTTCATAACCACGAGAAAATGCATCCAGACCACCTTCATACTTGTCAATTTCCGCACGCAATCTTTTGTATTGTCCATAACTGAGATTTGAGAAATACATATTTAAAAAAGAATCAGGTTTTTGTTTTAGTTACAGAATGTTAAGTATCAGAAGTGCAAAAGTATAGCAGGTACGGTTGGGAAAACACAAAAAATAACACTGAATATGTTAATCAACTACCTATATAAGCAGAAAATTGAATAATGAATTTGTTTTTTGGATTCAAGATTAGTAAGGTATACAGCACATTAAATTATTTTCAGGAAATTGAGTAATGACAGTGATTTAAATATTTAAACCTCTGCCGTGTAAAAAGGAATTCCAATGCACAGAAGATGTTTCCCTTTTGTTGGGTAGACAAACAGGCCGAAGCCCAATAAATGTTGCCTTTTTATTCATCATTTTCTTATGGGTTTCAGGTTTCCATGACCAATTAATTACTTTAAACCAATTCTTTTGCCATTCTGGTCAGCACCAATAGCATAGCTCACGCAACAACAAAAATAACAATTAAACTTTATCCCCCAAGGTGGAATCACCTACAAGGATAAATAATGTCATTGCGCTCTATCCAATTGCATAGTTCATGCAATGAATAAGAACAATTCTTTAAATCTACGATTTACTGGAACATCATCATTATGTTGTTGGGTGGAGGCGTGGAGCTATACAACACAAACGGTTACATTATGGTGTGGAATTCAAAATATGAAACTGTAAAGAACCTTGGGATACACCACCCCAAAAGCTAGATCTAAGGGTGGGAACCACAGACTAGGAAGTGAAAATGAGAGCTCTCCAGTTGACAAAGGACAATATCAACGAATAGTGGGCAGATTGATATATCTAGCTCATACTAGACCTGATCTAGCTTATGCAGTTAGTGTTGTTAGCCAACTTATGCATGATCCGAGGGAGAAACACTTGCAAGCTGTGGACAGGATTCTCCAATATCTGAAAGGCACACCAGGTAGAGGACTATTGTTCCAGAGAGGAGGAAACTTATCCTTAGAAGTTTATACAGACGCCGATTATGCTGGATCCGTGACTGACCGACGGTCTACTTCGGGATATTGTATGTTTCTCTGTGGAAATCTTATAACATGGAGAAGTAAAAAGCAAAATGTGGTTGCTAGATCAAGTGCAGAAGCAGAATTTCGAGCTATGGCTCAAGGTATCTGTGAGTTATTATGGTTGAAAATCATTTTAGATGATCTCACCTTGAGATATGAAGGATCTATGAAGTTACTTTGTGATAACAAGTCAGCTATTGAAATTAAAGTATCTATGATGATCATACACTTTTGATTTTAATTAAAGTATGACCGGTCAGACATAATGTAGTTTGTAAAAGTTTGTAAATATAACATTTCCATTTTCATATATATATATGTATATTGAGATTAATATATATATCTTCAATAGTAACGGAATAATATAATTACTCATTTACTAGAGAAGGAAAAAGTGGAAGTTCAGGATAAATGGAGAATAAATGCAATTAAATAGGTTTTCTTCCGCTTCTGTAATTTGAATGAATAATTCACAGAATCGTTAGTATTAATGGAATACTGGATATATTTTCCATTTGGAGAGGTGATTGCTGTGTCATTTCCAAAAACATTAGACAAAGTAAGAACCTTGGACCTTATATATATATATTTTCGCCAACACCAAGCTACAACATAATCTAGAAGAATACTTCTAATCAAACCTGCAATTCCGATGGCATTTCCTTTGGGAATTCTTTTGTTCTTTCTTATTGCATTGCCAATTTCTGATGTGCATGCAGACATTATCTCCCCATGGAGATATGAAGCTTATAACAATTTTGAAGGAGGTCACAGAGTGGGCGTTACCCGCAAGCATCATCGCCCCAAGTTTAGCCCTAGCCAATGGAAGGAGGCTCATGCTACCTTCTATGAAGGAAACTCCGGAACATTTGGTATGATCAATTTTGAATGCTGATCAATGTATAGTTTTCATTTAATCCATTACATATACTACAAACTTTTTCATCATAATAAAATAGGGGTTTATACCTCTCATGTCACTTCATTCAAAAAACATCTACCGCACTCACATCGATTCTTGTGCCCAGCTTTTTTTCTTTTCTTTTTCAAAAAAATAAATGAGACCCCAGCAACTGTTTCCATTTTCATATATATATATATATATATATATTGAAATTAATTTGCATGGTATATATTTGAAATTAATAATGTTTTTTTGTTACAATATATATGTATATGCAGGGTACCATGCAAGAGGGAGGGAGGTATTAGGTTCACCATGAATGGGAATCCTTATTTCAATCTAATAAAAGTGTGGAATGTTGGAGGAGCTGGGGAAATAGTAAGAGTGCAAGTGATGAAGGATGATGGCAAGTTCAAATGGACAGATTTGAGGCGAAATTGGGGTCAGAATTGGGATACAGATGTTAGGTTCATGGGAGAGAGATTGAGCTTCAGGGTGACAGCAAGTGATGGAAGGTCCAGTGTCTCAAGGCGTGTCGCCCCTAAGTATTGGCAGTTTGCTCAGACCTATGAAGGCAAAAACTTCCCAGGTCTCTGTATCCCAATTCTGACCCCAATTTCGCCTCAAATCTGTCCATTTGAACTTGCCATCATCCTTCATCACTTGCACTCTTACTATTTCCCCAGCTCCTCCAACATTCCACACTTTTATTAGATTGAAATAAGGATTCCCATTCATGGTGAACCTAATACCTCCCTCCCTCTTACAAGGTACCCTGCATATACATATATATTGTAACAAAAAAACATTATTAATTTCAAATATATACCATGCAAATTAATTTCAATATATATATATATATGAAAATGGAAAATGTTATATTTACAAACTTTTACAAACTACATTATGTCTGACCGGTCATACTTTAATTAAAATCAAAAGTGTATGACAGGTCATACTTAATATAATTTGTAAAAAAAAAATTGTAAACGAATCATTCTCCTATGAAAATAGATCATGTATATGTAACCTGCGATATATGACTGGCACAATGCCACCCCTGTATTCTGCAAATTTGAGATATGCAGGGATGGCTAAGTCAAAGTGCTTGCGTGGTGGGTTGCACCATCCTCCATTGTCACTTGGTATACTATAATTTGGAGGGCAAAGGTCGGTGGCTGTGACATAAATAGAGGATTGGCCTTTACACCATTGAGAGTTTACACATTTGATCTGGAAACATGCCCCACATGTCCGGCCATTGTTGAACAAAGCTGTGCTCAATGCTGTCGTGTCAATCCCATAACCTTCTTTAACCACATCTTGATACCCACAAGCTCCTCATGCAATCAAGTTATTCTTTTTCTTCGTAAGTAAAAGACATGTATGCATAAAAAAAAAAATAACGTTTCTCCAATTACATAAAATAATCATTCAACCCTAAAACAACGCTATTTTAGGACTTAAATATTGAATAATTTTATAAAATTCATGGTATAAAAGAAAAGTACAATTTCTGAAATACACTAATTACTCTTTATCCAAATCCCAAAACGACGTCACGTGTTAGGGTCGCTGGAGATAACTTTATATAATGTAGCAAATATAAACACTTTTCCCTAAAAATAATAAGACACGAACATATTTTATTGGAAAAACAACTTCTCCTTTCAAAGGAGAACAACCATCTTATGCAATAGAAACAGTTGCTGGGGTCTCATTTATTTTTTTGAAAAAGAAAAGAAAAAAAGCTGGGCACAAGAATCGATGTGAGTGCGGTAGATGTTTTTTGAATGAAGTGACATGAGAGGTATAAACCCCTATTTTATTATGATGAAAAAGTTTGTAGTATATGTAATGGATTAAATGAAAACTATACATTGATCAGCATTCAAAATTGATCATACCAAATGTTCCGGAGTTTCCTTCATAGAAGGTAGCATGAGCCTCCTTCCATTGGCTAGGGCTAAACTTGGGGCGATGATGCTTGCGGGTAACGCCCACTCTGTGACCTCCTTCAAAATTGTTATAAGCTTCATATCTCCATGGGGAGATAATGTCTGCATGCACATCAGAAATTGGCAATGCAATAAGAAAGAACAAAAGAATTCCCAAAGGAAATGCCATCGGAATTTCAGGTTTGATTAGAAGTATTCTTCTAGATTATGTTGTAGCTTGGTGTTGGCGAAAATATATATATATAAGGTCCAAGGTTCTTACTTTGTCTAATGTTTTTGGAAATGACACAGCAATCACCTCTCCAAATGGAAAATATTTCCAGTATTCCATTAATACTAACGATTCTGTGAATTATTCATTCAAATTATAGAAGCGGAAGAAAACCTATTTAATTGCATTTATTCTCCATTTATCCTGAACTTCCACTTTTTCCTTCTCTAGTAAATGAGTAATTATATTATTCCGTTACTATTGAAGATATATATATTAATCTCAATATACATATATATATATGAAAATGGAAATGTTATATTTACAAACTTTTACAAACTACATTATGTCTGACCGGTCATACTTTAATTAAAATCAAAAGTGTATGATCATCATAGATACTTTAATTTCAATAGCTGACTTGTTATCACAAAGTAACTTCATAGATCCTTCATATCTCAAGGTGAGATCATCTAAAATGATTTTCAACCATAATAACTCACAGATACCTTGAGCCATAGCTCGAAATTCTGCTTCTGCACTTGATCTAGCAACCACATTTTGCTTTTTACTTCTCCATGTTATAAGATTTCCACAGAGAAACATACAATATCCCGAAGTAGACCGTCGGTCAGTCACGGATCCAGCATAATCGGCGTCTGTATAAACTTCTAAGGATAAGTTTCCTCCTCTCTGGAACAATAGTCCTCTACCTGGTGTGCCTTTCAGATATTGGAGAATCCTGTCCACAGCTTGCAAGTGTTTCTCCCTCGGATCATGCATAAGTTGGCTAACAACACTAACTGCATAAGCTAGATCAGGTCTAGTATGAGCTAGATATATCAATCTGCCCACAATCCAATTCAACACGATCGAGCCAAACATATTGAGATTGATCGCCACTTCATTAAAGATAAATTAGATAGTGGACTGATCACTACTCCATACATTCCTTCTAGTCGTCAATTGGCTGATGTCATAACCAAGGGTCTTCCTAATGCTAGATTTGAGGAACTTACTACCAAGCTGGGAATGATAAATATTCATTCCTCAGCTTGAGGGGGAGTATTGTAAATAATAGAATTATTTTATTATTATTTTGTAATAGAATACTCTAGAATACTCTATCAGTGTATTTGGGCTTAGCCCATTAGGTTTTTTAATCTCTTTAAATAGAGAACTCTTGTACAAATATGTTACAGTCCAATAATATACAAATCTTCTTTTCTAGTGAAACTATGGCAAGATGTAATAAATTGAAATAGTAAACAAGTCACACTCTTAAATTGAATATAAAAAAGAGAGATCTTTGCAAAAGAAATCTAAAATAATGGCAACTTAATTGAAAGCATTGTCCCACTCCTACCTCCTAGCTAGCCACCAACAGAACATACAAGCAATTAGTTGTCAATTTTTTTTTTTTTTTAATATAATAGCATGAAATATGAAATTATCAATTAAACGTTAATTATAGCCCCATTTTAACCTTCCACAGTTAATTGAGCACCCAATGCTTTGCAATCGTTATTCCATTTAGAGATTCAAGTACTTGCTTCATCTATTGGAGTTAACTTACCGGAAATCAAGATGTTCACGGTGAGCTTGCAAAGATGGATCAATCTCATATATTTTCTGCCCAGTGCCAGGTGGGGGAATGATCTTAGGTTTAACTTCATCCTTTGCTATTTTTACTTTCCTGTCAATAGATACTGGTGTCTTCTTGGCTTGAGCATTGGTGTTAACATCTACAAGTGATGACAGAGCAGAACCTTGCCCATCCTCTACCTCTCTGTAACTGCTAGCTGCCTCATCATTGCTGTACTTATTCTCGTCTTCCATGGTTAAATCCTCTAAGTTCTGAAAAGACTAGAATATACATTCAGCTAAGAACATTCAAAGAAATTTATGATTTCCATGAAAACCAATTCTGAGATTAATAATAAAGAATAAACAGAAATTGCAAAGAAAATAAGAAATCAGCATTTATGGGCATGCTGCCTGTGTTAATACAAAGAGTAAAAATAAACAAAGAAAAACAGTAGTGCCTACACACAATGACTAAGAAAATTAGATATCGCTACTGGCAAAAGAGTAGTAACTTAGTGCAAAGAGCTCTATGGCACATGATCTTTCAAATGATTAATGATCATACACATACAAATGATTCTGCCCTACCAAGACAAGCTTGGCTGATGCCCTCTAGTCCACTTCAAACATCATTCAGCTTGTTCCACTAGTTCACTAAAGCCACAATATGACTATGGTGGCATTAAACCCATTAAGGTGTACAAGAGAAGACACTACAGGGGACCAAAGCTACAAACCAATCATGACATAGCAGAATTAACTGAAGCAAAATAGAAGCTTCCAGATGGCATGCATCATTTTACTTCTCTTGTTATTCTTCGTTTCTGTTTTGTGAATTGCAACGCATCAGACTATCATGCATACTTTGTTTATAGTTCAATTCATATTAATATTCCCCAAAATATATTTACAAAAAAATATTCCCCAAAATATCAAATGCTTACAAGAATCTAGTGCCTACAAAACACAAGAATTTGGTGCCTACAAATACGTTCTATCTTTAGTTCAATTTTATGTGTGCATAATTTACAAAGAAGCCTCATTTTCCATTTTCCAATTGAATTAATGTAATTCTGGTATACTTCAGCACACTCAGAAAAAGTGCACTGCCTTCAAGTCCCAAATCGTGTTAAACAATAATAATTCTACATGTCAAGTCAGAAGGCAGAGAGCTGTACAAGTATGATTGCTTACCATATTTATTTTTCAAATGATGGAATGAGAAGACACCACAAACAAAAAGGTCCAGAACCATTTCTTTCTTTTCAACATCAGACATTGATGATTTAAATTCTTACCGTCTTACCTAATTGAAACAAACTATTTCCTTAAAAATTCAGCATCTTAAGTAGAACTATGAGGAGGATAAGAAATACCCCAAGTCTACATTAAGGAAAACTAAAAATGCAACACGCTGCTCAATCTCTATGCATGACTGAGATAGCACAATTACCTTTAAGCAGCCATGAGCAGAATACCAGAAAGAAGCCAAAAGTTAACCCCATCCCAGGTCAATTTTAGAGCAAAAAAACACTTAAAATAGGAGCATTTAGCTCCAACCATATGCACAAAAGGACTACAAAGACTGCACATTGCCAGTTTTTAGTAATAAAGGACTTGGAAAAGTCATTAATTTGGTGTAATATGATAAAGTTAATATTCATTTAAATATCTAACAATAGGTTTGAACTCACATTAAATTAGATAAAATCTATAGTATCCATAACTGCTATTAGCAGGATCCAGGACAACAGTAGGAACCTAATGTGTTTATTAGAATATTAGATGTACTATAAATAGAATTCATAGTGATAGTATACTACAGTTAGATAGAGTTTGAAATGTGGATGAAAAATGTTTTTGTCTAAGCTGAGACAAATAACATTCCTAATAGACGTCACATATCAGAAATTTTCTAAAGAACAGTGTGAGCTGGAGATCAAAAGTATGCGTATAAATATTCAATGAAGACCTGGAAAAACAACATTTGACAACCTTTTGTTTGCTAAACCCAGCAAGAAAAGCTAATGTGCTATTATAGTTTCCTTTTTTTTTCATTATGTAGCAATCAAGTTTCTCCACATCTGTTTTCCCTCCATCCTCCAGATTCTTTCTTGCTCATACTCACAATTAACTAATGAACACTGTGCTGAAACTCAACTAAACTGCACCACTTTTGCAATCAAAATGCCAAAAAAGTTTCTCCAGATGTATATGACAATAAAACCACAATCCCCATAGGAAGAAAAGCATGTGACGACAAGCACGCAAAATTAATTATTATAAATATATTCCACAAGGAGAAGGAGAAAAGAACCTGTGCATCCTCTGAGGTTATGTCAGGAGTTTCAAGTTGATCTGTCAAGGATGCAGAGTTATCTTGATCTTGAGGAATAAGTACTTTATCAGATTCAGCAATTGTGGAAGATGTGGAGTCAGAATCATGGGAAAAATTTTTAGCAAGGGTTTTCCCTGAAAGTAGCCATAAATTATATCAGTGAAGAGTTTTCAAGCCTGTCATGTAGAACTACTTGTGCCACAAGCAAACTAGAGTGAACTTTATGTTCATCCTAGTTTAAAAGATGGGGAAAATATTTGTAATTTTAAATGACATAATTTTGTGTCATTATAAGTGAAATGACTGCGTTTTGATGGGTCTTTACCTTTTCTCTCCTCCACAATACTCTCTTTTTCTCTCTCCTCCTGATTCTGGGAAGGAGAGAGAATATAAAAAACCACCAAATATGCATTCAAACAAGATCGTTTCATTTAAAATGACACAAAGTTGTGTCATTTAAAATGACAAACTCTTTTTCCTTAAAAGATATATCACATTCTTTGCCTTTTCTATTTTCATTTATCATGTTGATGTATTAGTAATTTAAACTAATCAATCCCTAGATATTGATAGCCAGTTTCACATTGTTGTATTTGTTCGTTCAATCGTTGCCATTCAGATTACAGACGATTTTGCTTTCATCATAAAACTTTATATGATGAAGATTCAATCACTCAATTCATATTCTCATTAAACAATGAAGAGTTAAGTATCAGGACTCAATTACAAATTTTACACAGAATCATGTAATTAATATTCCAAATTCCAAATACATTTTGCCAACTCAATTATTGCCAATGCAAGGTTCCAAAAAGAAATTACATGTGTTACAAAAGAAACATATATGAAAGTTGGATTACTTTGCACTGAATTGCAACTACAATTCGAATAAATAAGCCATCCATACACGTCCCTACTCTACTTGACATAAATATCACAATGACACCGTTGGACTTTCACAGGGCAGCACACGTTGATCAAATCAAGGCTCTGACAAATAGTGTAAAACACAGCCGAAGTTTACATCCTTTATTTTATCTGCAAATGACTAATGAGTTCCGAAAACGCAAAACAAACCTTACTATTCATCCATAAGAATTCGATCCAAAGTCAATAAACATCTAGTATCTCAGTTCGAAACATATTTAACCGACAGCACAAAACAGAGCAACACCAAAGTCGCTAATCTCAAAACGTCCTGAAATTGAACAAATAATCAAAGTCCTATCGACGGAACTGAACAACATCGCCAGAAATGGAATCAAAACCAAACTCAACAAGTTTCCGCCGATGCATGGTTTAACGATTTAAAACAAAGAGCAGTAACAAAGCAAGTTCAAAAATAGCAAGCACTACTCACATAACTCCACATATGAATGGAATGCAATGGAATAGTAAAAACATTAAGGCGAAAACGAGGGAGGTTAATTACGAGAGAATGAGTCCTTTTTGAGAAAAATGGAGAGAGATGCAGTCTTGCGATCGCCATGGAAGCTCGAGTTATGCAGAGAAGGAACAACAGGAAATCGAATTCCGGAGATGGTGTAAACCATCTTCCTCTATCCTTAGGGTTTTACCTCTGAGAGATTAGGATTCAGTGTTCTTCCAAAGCAATGAAAAACAGATCCAACAGTTACGAGTCACGACTCTCTAGAGTGTTGGGAGTTCAAGGAGCCGAGAGAAACGTGACACTGACACTGGTGCTCTAGAAACAATAAACGACGACTTAAATAATTATAATAAAAAGAGAGATATAAATTGTACGGTGAAGGATGGCGCTATCTGGCTGGAGGTGCCAACGAAACAGCAAGTGATGCTGCTACGTGTGTGCACAGTCCACAGTATTTTGATAATGGTGAGAACAGGGCCCACTGGGCTCAGTTCTCCAATTCTGATCGTTCATTGTCTTCACAAACAAATAATAAGGCCCCGCTTCAGATGGCCACTAAGGATGTGAAATGACTGGTACAGGCGAGGTTGGTTTTGATTGTTTCTTTCTTTGCACTTGACATTTCGTTGTGTTGTGTTGCGTTGCGTATATACTCGTGTGTGCCAAAAAGGAAAAAGCAACGGGGAAAGGTTAAAGTATCTTTTGGGTTGTGGGTATATGCTTGCTCACTGGGCCCATATAAAGAGAGAAAATATTTTTAGATAAACATATGATTATGCGGGAAATCAAAACATGTTAAGTCCGTTAATTATTCTAACGGGTACTCTTTAGATCAGACCCATTTTTTATTAAATTGGAAACGAAGATTCCAAAGATAGATTTGATTATCTGATTCTGATCTAAGTAGTCAAAACATAATAATATATAATGTGACCACTGATTACTCTTAATTTATATTACAATAAGGAGGGAAAAGTTTATATAAACTGGATGTAACCCCGTGAATTTTGATATAATAATGTTCTAGTTCAATAGTTCCTTCCTGTCAGAGAGGTTGGAATAAAAAAAAAATATCTTTTGACATGCTGATGCTGGGTATGATAACGATAGTTTAACAAACTACCTTTTAGATTTTTATATATAAAAGCTTTGGGCTTGTAATTTCTCATGTTGCATGAGAAATTCAAGTTTTCCTACAGAGAGATAAAGGAGTGAGGTCCACCTTAAAGTAAAAAATAAAAAATAAAAAAATAATTGGCACGAACATCGAAGTGAGAGTGGTAGGAGAGGAGACTTCTCATGCAACATGAGAAGTCTTTTTCCCAAAAGCTTTAGATTAAGAAAGATTCTTTTTGTTTTAAATATTACGAGAAAAAATATATATCTTTGACATGCTGATGCTGGGTGTGATAATGACCGTTTATAAGTGGCGGAGCCACTTTAGTGCCTGCTGGTACTTTGGCACCAGATCACTTTCAATAAATTGTACTTATTATATATAATTATATAATTACTTATAATTTAGTTAGGGTTAAAATTATAATTTGACACTACCTAAAAATTAAAACATATTTTTTTCATATACAAGTAAAAATTAAACATACAACTTAATACACATTATTCAAATCTTTCACCGGGATATTTCCAGTGGCTTAATTAAAATATATTTATAAACAGTTGTCCCAAACATTCAGCCTATGTGAAATCGGATTGAGATCCTCTAATGTCAAATTTTCACATGACCCAGTCATGTTAATCAATCTCAGCCCTTTGTTATTTTTATTAATAAATCAACGGTTGCTTTTTAACTTTTTCTTATTTCTTTTCTTTTCTCTCTCATCTGTTTACTATTATATCTCTCTTTTTACTTTACTCTTCCACGTTTTTTTTGTTCAGCAAACTTATTCAGAATTGGGATAATTAGGGCATGTTTGATTAGTGTTTTGTAGAACAGTTTTCTGTTTTTAAAAACAAAAAAACAAAAAAACTTGTTTGATGACCTTAGTTTTGTAAAACTGATTTTAAAAACAATTTCTTTTTCCTTGTTTTTAGAACAGAAATTGGAGAACAACTCTAAGTTGTTTTTGTTCTCATTTCTAATTTTTTGTTCCCAAAACATTGAAAAACGGAGAATAGCTTGTTCTCATTAATGGCATTTGTGTAATTATCAAGTCACTTTCATATTATACTGTTCTTATTAAATCTCATTATTCATCTCAATTTGAGACCCAGAGAACCTCGGAGTTCAGCATTCGAGTCGCTGCCTCAGAGCGCCTCGGCATCGATCTCTCGTCCCCGGAGTGTAAGCAACTTGTCAGAACCATCGTAGAGTCTTATCTTGTCACCGTCGCTGCCGAAGGGAAACCACCGGAAGAATCCAAAGAAGTGATGAAACCGAATAAGAAAAAGGAGGACGTGATTAGTATTGTGAACGTGATTTTGCTCCCTAGAAGATTTTTCCTTGCTTCAAATTATTCAATTGGGAACGTGATTAGTATTGTGACCTTAAGAGCACGGTTTCTGACGATGAATAATCTAAAACCCCTAAATTTTTCGTTTTGTTTACACAAGAAATTCACTCCGACAAAAGGTGACAACTTTGGCTTTGTCATAATTTGTTGTGTTCACTGGTTTAGTTGTATGTTAGTGGTTGGCCAGTGGGTCATCATGGATGTTGTTAAGAGAGCCTTTTTCACAATTTGTGGATTGAGAAAAAGCTGATATGGCTTGTTTAATATAATCTGCATTGGTTTAAAAAAGAATTGTAATATAATTTGTTTTGATCGTAAAAATATATTTTATGGAAATATATCTGAGTTTTTACATATAATTATAGAAATCAGTAAAATAAGTTAATAAAAAAATACCAATCAAACGAGTTTTTTTATTTTTTTTGTTTTGAAAACATGTTCTGAGAACAAATTTATCAAGCAGATTTTTTTGTTCTTTAATTTTTAAAACTCTTTTCAAAACAAATTTATCAAACAAATTTTTTCTTTCTTTTATTCTAAAAAACAGTTTTTATAAACTATTTTACAAAATTATTTTAAGAACAAAAAAACTAGAACACTATCAATCAGACCCTTAATTTCTCCTCATCTCCGCCGGTGCTTCAACGAACCCAGTTTCATCCAAAATGTAATATCAAAAGTTTGCTCAAGTTCTGTCATTCATGTGATCATCCTCAACCTCTTTTCCGGAAGAAGAAGAAGAAACGAGAAGAAGAAGAAAACGGATAACCTTTTTTTCTCTCTGGAATTTGGTGCGTTCGGGCGACGACGATTCATCATCGCTCGACCCACTCGATTCGAATCGTGTGTTCGTTCCTTCTCTCTGGATTTCTTATCGAGGATGCGAAGCTCTGCATCCAAAAAGATAGGTCGATCCAATTCCACTCCTTCCATCAATTTCGATCTCTTCCGCTCTGGTATTTCATCACTACGCCATTTTCATATTTTTATTTTATTTTTTATTTTTTTTTAGTTTTTAAGCTCGTTTCTTTTTTCCAGAGCCATGCTTGGTCTTTGAGACTGTAACTCTCTCCGCTCTTTTATTGTCTAAAAATAATTTTAATCACGATTATTTAAAAAAGCATAGATTAAGGGTTTTTTTAAAAAAGATTATTTTTGTTATGGTCATGTTAAAGTTTTTTTTTTTGGGTGGGGGGTCAGTCCTGCTTGTTGATGCCTGCAAATTTCTCTTGATTATTTATATTTTTCAAGAGTTTTCGTATTATGATTTTGTGAGGTTGGGAGATTATGGTGGCTGGTTATAAGAGGACTAGTGGGATAGGAGAAGCATAGTCATCCTTAGTGAAAGAATTTAGATCTTGAGAAGAAAAAACATACTTTCACTAGTAAATTATTGAGTCAATTCTGCACTTCTTCAAGCAAAGACTGATGGATGAATAAACTTTTGAAGCATGGACGACATAGGCACAATGGAACCTCTTTGATTAATATGAAAGATAGAAAATTCTTGTCTCTGAGCCTGCTCATTGGATTTTGAAGCATATATGTTGTTTATATTACCTGTTTATTCTTGTCTTTTTTTTGTGTGCCTCTTATGGTATAGTGTTTATTCTTGAGTTATTCTTCACCTTGAATATCTGATACTAAAGATACGGCTTAGTTAATGAACTATTTTAATCTAAATCGCAGGATATTTAGAAGAAGAACAAATGAATGTGGGATTGAAGAAGATGTTATTGTTGGTTTGCCTTCTGCCCAAGATTTTGCGAGAGAGTGATATGGATGATGATGCTGATGTTTCATTTTGAATATAAATATATCACTTTACCAATTAGATTCTGTATGGTTATTGAAAATTTGCACAAATTGTTGTATATTAATCGATTTTAAGGGGAACAATTGTTGTAATTACTAATTAGCACTTGGAATAATCATATCCTCTAGTTAATTTTGTTGAGATGATGCTTAATTGATGGCGAGGCTTGATTTTCAAATGTGGTTGAATTGATTTTCAAATTTCTGTGTACGTAAGCACAATGTATCTTCTTTTTAGTTATGGTATTCAAACTTGGTATAGTGAACTACCTCAGTTACAACTGAATTAGCATTGATCAAACTTGAAGTTAAAGGAGCCAAAATAAATATTGATAAAACTTGAACTGAGTCAGCACAAAATCTTCCAATTCAATCTACAATCTCATCAGAAATATAGCTCAGGATTTTACAACACCCCACTATTATCCATGTGGTTAGTCAAAATACATGGTGTCTTTTTAAACTTTTCTAAAAACTGAGCTACCATAATCCATCATGGGCCAATATGAAAAAATCTACATCAAAGGAATTGGTACTCCATGGATACTTGGTTACTCATTAGGTTTGATACATTACTCAAAGGAATTGACAATGGATCGAACTCGGTGCTTGTTGATTGAAAAAAAGTATCATGAAGTGGCTCCTGTTCAAGAAACAATGCAAATATATTATAAACATAATGCAAAATTTATTTAAATAAATAAAAATTTCATATGCTTCATTAAAAAAAATTAAACAGTGTCAAAATTCTTACCATTAAAAGTCTATTAAAACCATGATCACTTTCATGAGAACTTGAAATGTCATTGTTTTCCTATGCAAAAACATCAACACAAAATATTGAAGAAAATATTAAATTTGGAAAAACTAAAAAATTAAAAACACAATACTCAATAAAATATTGTTGCAAATAAAATTACCTTCAATTGTTTATTTTGTGAAGCACTAATTTTTGGGACCTTTTTTGTCTTCTTGGGTTGGTTCTCAACCCAACTCTTTGGACGCTTTCTCCAATTCTTTATACCATTTCTTCTTTTCAATCCTTTGACTTGTAAGAAATGATTTTCATTTGGGAAAGAGGAAGAAAGATCAACATTAATATTTTCTAGTCCCAAGTTTTTCTTGCAAATCTCATCAACTTGCTTTCGTAAGTCTTCTATGCCTTTTCCATAAAGATGTAAGCTTCCTTACAATCAGATGCTTGTGTGGCCATTCTCACCAATTTAGGACAAATTTGCCTATACTGTTGTGTGCTATCAAGATTAGCATCTTCTTGAACATGTTTGCCATGTGTATCTTTCACAAATCCATTTTTTGCTTCCCTAGTCCACCTTTTCAAAATATACTGAATGGGCAACTTCTTTATATCTTTGACATCAAGAACCTTGATTCATGACAACACAAAATGCCAAAAGTTTCAAATTTTTTACAGCTACATGAAACTATACTTGTGGAAGGCCTAAATGAAACTTTAAATTCCCCATCCTCTTTGCACAACCCAACAAGATAGTCATGGATTAATTCACCTTCATTTTCTTTTTTTATATAACATGCTGCATATTTGTCATACTCTTTTTGAAAAATATCAGAAAGAGGTAAAGTATATATTTGTGCAACCTGTTGCAATAAAGGTGAATTTTCCATCTTCAACCTCGGTACTTTTCGCCTAGATTCAAATTCACACTGCAGCTCATTGTATCTCTTATCACTAACCACTCTTTCAAAGTGTTTGAAAAATTGTATTATGTCCAAGTCAGGTTTCATGCAAGTTTTCAAATCTGCATTAAAGCTTTCACTAAATTGTGTACTTTGCATGCCAATAGTGAAAGTATTTTTCATATAACATTTTGCCCATTTTTCCTTTACTTTGTACACACCTATTAACCATTTGTTATCATGAAGATTGTATTCATCCAGCAATTTATCCCATGCTATTTGAAAATCAGCTTCCTCTGAGCATTTATACATGCAAAAACTAAAGTCTTTCAAAAAATGAGACCCATTCTTCATCAAATTACCAAGGTGCTTTATGCCATTTTGCATCAAATGCCAAGAACATAAACCATGATATGTTTCAGGCATTACCTGTGGTAAAGCTTTAGCCATGGCATGGTCTTGATCCGTGAAAAGAGTTTAAGGCTTCTTGTTCTTATGTGCTTTCAAAAATTCTCTAAAGAGCCACTCAAATGATTCCGAAGTCTCGTCATAAAGAAGTGCAGCTCCAAAAATCACCACCCTTCTAAAGTGGTTAAATCCTGCAAAAATAGCCAAAGGTCTATATGCATTATTAGTACTATATGTAGTATCAAGGGTAACCACATCACCGAAGTATTCATAATCCATTATCATTCTTGCATCAGCCCAAAAAATATTTGTGATTTGTTCTTCAACATCTAATTGGACTGTATGATAGAATGATGGGTTTTCTATTGATTCTTGTTGAAAATATTGTAATAAGCTTCATGCCTCCCCATATGCCATATTTCTCAACCTTTTGCTACAAAGATAATTCTTTTGATCCAAGCATGTGTAACCAAGGTTTTCTCTTTCACCAACTTGTCTACTCATTAATTCAAATGAAGTCTTTTGCTTAAGGCCTGAATCATTAGCCAAATCAATCTCATGAGATTGAACTTGAGACAATTTTCTTTGAGATAATAGCATGTGACTTGTCTGCAGAAGATGCAAAGGATGGTTATGCTCATCGCAAAAATCATAAATTTGATACTTCTCAATATCTTTCATGTATTTCAGTCCTAATTTCACCGGACAATTTGTTCTAGTTTCAAGTTGAGGATTGATAGTTAAATGATCCCTTTTGTCTACTCTACGAACACCCTATTTGCTACATACATATCTAACAGTCAAAATCCTTCCATTTTTGTTCTTGTTATAATATTGCTTTCGAACATTAAATCCAATTCTAACCCTATATTCAGTCCAAAATTTCCATGCCTCTTCTAAAGTACTAAATGTATTGCCTTTTCTAGGTTGCCATTCTAACTCTGCATCCATGCATAGTGCATTTTGTGCAACAATTAAATCACTTGGCAACCTAACATAACAAAATAAATAAATTCAGCTATAAAAAATTATTTATAAATATAAAATTCAAAAATATACCGTAGTGTTTCCATAGTCTTACTCGTTAGCATTTGAATGTTGTTTTAACCATGGACGATGGACAAGTTCAGCCATATTGCTCAACCTGCATATAAAAAAAAAATTCCTTTAGACATGCAAGAGAAATTTATTGAAATTTATTGAAAAATGTAATCTTTTCACTGAAATTTTATAAATAAACAAGAGAAATTTACAGAACAAGCATGGTCATTGCAAAAAAACAACAAGCTTGAAAATTAAAATATAAAAAAATGAAAATTGGAATATGAAAATGGCGTAGTGATGAAATACCAAAGCAGAAAAGATAAAAAATGGCGGAAGGCTTTGTTGAAGCAAAGGCAGATATGCGGGGTTTGTAGAAGCAGAGACAAAGATGAGGAGAAAACGTGGGAGAGCTTGCTGAATAAGTTTGCTGAGCAACTAAAAACGTGGGAGAGTAAAATTAAAAGAGAGAGATATAATAGTAAATAGATTAGAGAGAAAAGAAATAAGAAAAAATTGAAAAACAACCGTTGATTTATTATTAAAAATAACAAAGGGCTGAGATTGATTAACATGACTGGGTCATGTGAAAACTTGACATTAGAGGATCTCAATCCATGTGAAATCTCTGCTCTCTATCTCTAATTTTAGTCTAGCTATTAAATGGAGGTAGCTTTTACAGACACGCAACCCGACACATTGCTCGAAGGTTGATATTCTCATCATAGCAGGGAGATGCAAGAAAGGGGAGCTGATTTTGAAAGCTTTAAAAAAAAGGGAAAAGAAAAAAAGAAGGGTAGAGAGGAAAAGGAAAAATCTGAGGTTTGACTGCTAGTGATGGAGTTGCTTCCTCTCATCCTCTGGTAGTCTGGTAATTTTATTTTTGTATTATTTTTGTATTATTTTATTTCGGTGAGCTATTGCCTATTATGTGTATTTTTTTGCATTTTCTTGAGTTATTGTTATATGGGTTCCAACGTTCCGTACTTTACTAAGTAAAAAATGGAACTCTTATCACTTAGCTCTTCATTAGATCCGAAGAATGGTTACAAAGCATTTAATGTTGATGACATTTGTAGCTTTGCAGAGAAATACTATCCTCTTGATTTTTCTGAGCAAGAGATAATTAATTTAAATTGTCATTTGAAGCATTTTCACAAGGACATCCTAAAACATCCAGAACTTTAAAATTTATCTTCAATTTCTGAGCCGTGTCAAGGATTAGCTAAGACAAGAAAGTCAAATTCCTATCATTTGGTTGATAGGCTTATCGTCTTATCTTAACTCTACCAGTTTCAACAGCAAGTAGTGAACGTGCATTCTCAGCAATGAAAATTGTGAAAACAAGGCTTCGAAACAAAATGGAAGATGACTTTCTTGCAAATAATTTGGTTGTGTATATTGAAAGAGAGATTGCTGAAACTTTTACTACAGATTCTATCCTTGAAGATTTCATCAATTTAAAGAGCGTTGTTTACAATTTTAGGTATGCAATTTTTTTTTAATATTTTAAATTATTTATTAAATGTTATTGTACATATAATTATTACATTTGTGTGCATTCATATCCTTAAGACAATACTTGGTTCATTACTTATTATGCTGTAGGAGGAAAGTGAAATGCTTACTGAAAATGTTAGTTTCTTTTTATGTTTGCTTTGATATATAATTATTGGCAATTGTTGATTTAAATTTTTAATGTTACGTGACATTATTTAGTAAATAATGTAGATAAATGCAAGAATTCATAGTAATTTTTTTTCTTGATAAATTTGGATAATCATGATAAATATTTTGATATGTAAAATTTTTTGGCTCCGCCACGCCACTGTCATGCTACCTTTAAGAAAGATTAATTGCTTATTAACGAAAAATAACTTTTTTAAGCCCATCCTAATAGTCAATCTTTTTCCTTTCCTACATTATTTCATCATTTAATTTAGAAAATAAAAAGATGTCGGTGAGGTTGCCCCGATTTTTCACAAGATTCAAGTGAGATAAAGACGAATAGGCCAGTCTCTCAAGTTTCAACCAAACTTTCTAATATGGTTACTTTTTGGTGGATCAATGCAATGTGAAAACCATCGTACGCCTCCAGAAGCACATGCAACGGAAAAACCATCGAACCAAAATTTTAGAAATGATTCATTACAATATATACTTTATATAAGATGTATAAAATACAGCCAAGCTTCAAGGCTGTACCATTATTTAGATGACATAAACCATACTTTTGAAACAAAAAGGAAAAATAAAACAAAGAGGATCCCAGACTATCTTTTCTGGAAGTTCAGGAATTTTATGCCAAAGGCAAACAAAAACAAGAAAAGTAGAACCCAGCCAAAATGAACAGCAGCAACCACCGGAAGGAAATCATAGTCAAAACCCAAGCTTTCCTTGAGTAATTCCTTCAGCCCCATGTTTCCAACTCCTGGGATTTCCACTTGTGCATTTATGTCACCCAGTTGAGAGGTAATAAGGCCATACATAGTCCAAGCATTAGGAGAAGCCCAATAGTACCACCTCCACCATATAGGGATTTGCTGTAACATTTAGGAGAAATATATAAGTTTAGATATGCAAAAGAAAAGAGCCGTACTTTCAGCATCAAATTATGAATTATATAACAAAATGGCAAATGACATACCGTCCTAGGAATGACAAAGCCAGAGAACAAGCTCCAGGTGCTCGTGAAGAATGACATACCAATAACAGCAACTTGGTAACTCGGGGTTAGTGCAACAGTCATCATTCCATACAACGTGTAGTACATAAAACACATGAGTATATAGTAGTAGAACGAAAAGAATTTCCCTGCCTTCCATTCAAACCCAATCATTGAGAAAAGAAGGACAGTATAAAGGGCTGCTTGAACCAAGTTATAAATTGCCTCTATTGCCACCTGCAGAATCAATGTAGTGCATTTTTGTTTGATTAATATATATATATATATATATATATTATTTTCCATTGGGATAAGGCATCTATCAAGGGAATCTATCTGATAACGATACATCATTTTTAAAACATGATAAAATTGGTTTCATTGAACAAAAAACAAAAGTATGTAACCTTGTAAATCACCACAAATTAGTTTAGATCTCTCTTCCTTTACCTGACCAACTGCATAGGACAACGTTGAATACATCCCTGCCGCTCTTTCACGATACAAGACAGTTCTTTCTATGTTAACAACTGGCTGCACTCCCGCAGCGTTCATGTTTCCAAGGAACATCATGGCAGAGTATACGGCTCCCAAAAGATTAAATACATCTTGTTGTTTTTGGCTGCCAATCAAATTAGTTCAGCAAATTATCATCAATAGTCAATATTATTAACTTGAAATGCAATTTAAATGTGCAGCACTATAAGAATACCAATTACCAAACACGATTATAGACAAGTTAAAACAAATATGTAAATTATTAAATGACTTACATTTTTATGGCTTTATTCAAGTAGATTAGACCAAACATTACTCCAATGATTAATGTAAAGAAGAATCGAACGGCGTTATATTGAGGATTTCTCCAATAGGACCAATGTTGTCTCCAGAAACAAGCTTTCAACTGCACATAGAATGATTGGGAATATTTGGTTGGGAAGGATAAGTCCTTGGAACCTGGTGCTGGAGTAGTGTGCTCTTTGATAAGCTCTTGATTCCTTCTGAGGAAAGTACAGAGAAAATAAAGTTACAAGTTATAAAGCTAGACGAATTCTTATGCCATATGAACATGCATAGTAGTAACACAAATGACAAAGGAAAAAATATTACCGGTAAAGTGAGGAGTTGGCGTAAATCCCCGCATAATCCACGCCAAGTTGAGCCTCAAGTGATGGAGTGCTAATCTCAAGCATCCATGTGGAAGGATTATAACCCTCCTTGATTTTTGGAACCCCTGCAATAGCCTGAAGCAGAATATGTATATTAGATCTATAAGAAACTTTTAAAACTGAAATTATAATCCGCCAAAGTGCTCAAAGTATGCAGATGAGGTATGGAGAACTCTTGAGACAATAGATAAAGAAAAGCTTCAATACTCACTTCAAAATATTCTACAAGCTTATGTGAGTTGCGACCAAGAGGTCCACAATATATAACTCGTCCTCCTCTTCTCATCAACAATAGCTGCAATAACAAAGAAATCAAGTATGAAGATATATCATGCAACATAGAGCAATAATTAACCAAAGAAATAACACTATACTTATGAACTGTAATGATTTCAGATTCCAAACTTGCCTCATCAAAAGCTTCAAAAATATCTATGCTTGGCTGGTGAATTGTGCACACAACGGTTCTCCCTGTGTCTACTGTGTTTCTTACAGTTCGCATAACAATAGCAGCAGCTCTAGCATCAAGACCAGATGTAGGTTCATCCATGAAGATGATTGAAGGGTTTGCAACCAACTCTACAGCAATAGTAAGCCTTTTCCTTTGTTCCGTTGATAGGCCATCCACGCCTGGAAGCCTCACAAGAGCATTTCTGATTGGTTTAAGCTCAACCAATTCCATAACTTCTTCAACAAACATCTGCATCATCAATAGAAATACAACTAAATCAAAGTTCTATTGAGAACGAGTTGCATTAAGAACATATTTAATTAATGTTAATTGCCAAGAAGACAAAGCTTGTTCCAACACACCTTTCGTGTTTGTGTCTTTACATCTGAAGGAAGACGAAGCCAAGCTGAAAACAATAGCGATTCGTAGACAGTAACATGTGGAGAATGAATGTCATTCTGTTCACAGTAACCGCTAACACGAGCAAATGTTACTTGGTTCTTTGCGTAACCCGAAATGCTGATAGTTCCTTCAATGTAACCAACAGTTTTTCTTCCAGCTAAGACATCCATGAGGGTTGTCTTCCCAGCTCCACTAACACCCATAAGTGCTGTCAAAATACCTGGTTTGAAAGCACCACTGACATCATGTAGTAGTTGAAGTCTATCTTCATTGATTCCTTCACTCTTCATTTCCTGATGTAATTAAACAAAACCAAAAAAACTTTACTGTGAAGAATAAATATGTCCCAATCAATCTATAGGGAGGCTATCTAGAAGTTCATTGTTTCTATTAAAACTAAAACGATTTTGATCAATATATAAATGCATTGAATTCGATAAGAACATCTTTACATGACTCCAAGTAAAAAAATAAGAAATATTATCCTATGTTATATTATGCATTTTAAGAAAGCTAAGATCCTAGTCAATTCATAGTTAAGACCACTATGTATGTTGAAAATCTAGTAATATGAAGCACTGTCTAAAATAGAGGTGCACACCACATTTTCATTCTACTTATTTTGAAAAGTATGAGAAAAACCTAATCAAAGTGATATTACAATATACTTACCAAGAAGGTATGCACATCCGCAAGAAAGAGATATTACTTAATCACAAAAGAATGCATTGTTTAGAACTGAGTAACTTACAGCAGGCATATCTACATAGTAGTTAATGTGATTGAATGCAAGTGAAAGAGGTTGAAACGGCAGGATCATTCCTGTTCTTCGTTGATCAGACGAACCGGCAATTTCTGAAGAATTTTTCATTTTCATGCCTATACCTGAACGTCCAATTCATATTAAATGAAATAGCATCAAAATAATTTGAATTGTATGAGAACAAAGTGCAACTAAACTTCTCTAAAAATGTTGCATCACCGTGAAAATAAAATCTGCACTTCAAAAACTCAAATTCATTCAGCAGAACTAAAGCAACTAAATTACTTAAAAATTGTTTCTAAACAAAAACTAATGCTGCTGGTTAGCTATACCCTACATTTCCAGAATAACAATGAAATGCACTTGAAATCACCAAGAAATCAGAAAAAGAGAACAAGGTATTAAAAAACCTTCAAACTTTTTCCGTCTAGAGGTTGACTTTTCATTCTTCTCGTCACCTTCATCCATGATGAATGCTTGTGAATCACCGATAGCTGAAATTTTGGTTTGATATTAAAAGGGTTTACCAGTGCCGAAAATTCCATTCAATTTCGCACTTTTAAAAATTAAAAAAGGTATAACTTACGATTCAAATAAGTCAATGAAGCAATGAAGAGAAGGTTGAAAAGAACAGCAAACCCAAACAAAGCTCCAATGCATATCCAAAACCAGTATTCTTCTGTGAAAAAGCCTCTGGACTTGAGAAGCACTTTTCCAACTGTAGGTGCATCAATTCTTGGGTCTGTATTTGGCTGCAAAATGTATGAGATAATTAAGGCTCAATGCAAATTTGTCTTTGTATTTGCACAACATAGGCAATGAGACATAAGAATGAGAAAAATGATTTCTTACTTTACTCCATCTTTCATCTAAAAATTCGTTCATTACAATGGCATTCTGACCATACATCATAGGAGAAACATAATAGCCCCATACCATCCATGGCTTAATATCATCTGCACGCATAAAAGAAAATATGCTGAAATAAGTACTTGTCAAAACCATACAATGTGACTATAAAAGAAGAGTAGAAAACATAAGATATTTAATCTCAATCTTAAAAAATTAAAATTTTCCTTAAACTACAGAAGCTCTAAAAGATAAAGAAGCGATTGATTGATGTCTCACTTTTGGCGATCATAAATCCTCCAAGCACAAATACAATCATATAGACCGATCCACTCAGTATATTAGCCAGAACCGGTGTTCTACCAACTCCACTAATGACCCGAATTAGAGAGACAGCCATCTGATGAACCGCAAATAATGCCAAGAAATGTCGGAAAAATCTGATAAAATTGAAGGATAAGTGTAAATTCATGAATTTTCTTCATTCTAACCTCAAAAAACTATTAAGCCAAAACAGAAAATTATTTTGAAAAAAGTAATTTAGGTTTCTTACAACAGCCAAAGTTTAGCAGGGAAATTAAGGACCATATTTGGAAGAAAAAAAAAATCATGCTACCTGTTAGCTGCAGGAGCAAACCCAATTGTATAGTAAGTAAGGATAATCCATATTCCTGATTCCACAAGAGAGATGGGGATCCTGAGAGCCCATATAGGTAATGCAAACGCCCATGCAGGATAGAACATGAAGTCCCTTTGTTTGTAAAAGACAGGAAGTCTAGGAATAATCATGACTTGTTCTGATGACCCGTTAAACATCACAGTAAGTAGAGAAAAGAATAGTGCTCCAAAGAACTTTCGTCCATCTTCAACAGTGCCAACTGGCATTTCGGTTCTAATGAACAAAGTAAAGCCGAAAATAGATAACACTGTTAAATGTACTATCCTGTATATGTAAACAAACATGTCACGTTTCATAAGCAACCATTCTCTTGAACAGCATGCCTTAAATAGTTCCCAATTTGATATACCATACTGGTTCTTCACTAAGGCAGCTGGGTGAGTTTGTCTCTTATCATAGGGAACCCCAAGATCAGTCATAAGTTGCTCTCCTATGTGAAACGAATGGAAGGACTGTGCAAGTTCAGAAACTGAAACATATCTGTAAGGTTCATCTCTTCTAAACCAATATTGTTGCTGATCTTTCTTGGACGTTACTTCTTGTAAGAAATCAGCAACTCCTTTTCTTGCAGGACATTTGAAACCCATGTTTTCGAAAAACTCTAGCACATTCTCACGTGGACCTTGATAAACAATTTGACCTTCTGAAAGTAGGATAATGTCATCAAATAGTTCATATGTCTCGGGTGGTGGCTGCACAAGAGAAATCACCATGGTGTCGTCCATGATATGAACCATTTGCCTCATGAAATTACAAATCTGAAAAGTGGTTGAACTGTCCAATCCTGTTGATATTTCATCCATGAAGAGTGCTTTTGCAGGTCCTACCAACATCTCTCCTGCACCGGGTTTCAACTGAAGCATTTAGATAGATTAATAGATAACTTCAAATCAAATGCTTATATACAAGTCTTTAGTTGGAAATGTTCCAGGCCATTGATTATAAGCAGAAAAGCACCCGGGCAAAAATGCTAGTTAGACGATAATACTCCCTTTAATTTATTTTATTTTTTTGGATACGAGAATAGAATATATAATCTAATACAAACTACCCAAACCATTCATTACTAAATCAAAGCCCCCTTTAGAATTAGCGATCTATTTATCTCATGCAACAAAGACAAGACTTCGCTATCTTGTTTGTTGCATGAGATAATTATCTCATTTAATATAAGATAATTATTTCTCTTAAAATTATGAAATTTGATTTTCTCGTGTTGTGACTCAACTAGTAACGAGCCCTACATTTATTAAAATATAAAAAAGAAAAGAAAATTTTTGCACACAAATCGAAAGATCACAACGCGAGAGTTGAATTCTCATGCAACATCAGAAAATATTTTTCCTAAAATTATTAGGAAAACAATTGACATCATCGCCTATGTATTATGCGTATTATTTGTAAATAGGATTTTAATAATTTGTAAACATTATTTTAGTCTTTTTTTCTAGAATCTTTCATTTTATGGTTAATTTTTAATTGTGAATGAATCTAACTTATTGATGAGATTAATATGAGGTGTTTCTACGATGTAGCTTTTTGTAGCATTATCTATTTTTATTATTATTTGGGAAAAAATGGTTACAAGCGAATTGAACCTCCGGCATATTAATGAGTGAGGTTTAAGACGTTTGAGATTAATTATTTAATAAAATATTAAGTTCTTGTATAAGCATAAGGATATAGAAGTAATTATATGACCTGTTGTTACACGTTTCTTCTGTCCGCCAGAGATACCTCTATTCATGTCATCACCAACCATAGTGTCAGCACAAATATCCAATCCAAGTATCTGTAAGAATATGAGAGAAATAATCAACCTAAATAAAAAGTAAATAGAAGCATAGAGGCCGTAATATAGTAATAAATGAAGTTGAGCCAACGTATTTACAGACCTTGAGAATATAATCTGTTACCAAACTGGTTTTTTGGCCGGAAATGGCTGTAGCCTTCATGTAAGCATCAAGCTCAGGGTCCGGTTTAATTCCAGCTTCTCTCTCCCTTCTTGAAAGTTCCTCCAACATTTCATACCTCGTACCAACACCAAGACAGCGTCCTGAAAAATCTAATGTCTCTCTCACCGTCATTTCTCCAAAGTGAAGGTCATGTTGACTAATATAAGCACATGTTTTTTTAGCAATAAATTCATTTAGTTCATGACCACAGTAGGTGATTCTTCCAGGAGCCTGCTCATAACATAAATTTGTCGTGGAAAAGAATTACACATAAGATGATATATATAAGACTATAAGAGCTAAGAAGACATTATTTATTATTTAAGTAAATTGACAACTGAAACCAAAGAAAAATGAAAATAACTGGGAACGAACCCTTAAATCCCGGTCAAGTTTCCCAGCTAGTGCCAGAAGCAATGTTGTTTTCCCTGCACCTGGAGGACCCAGAAGTAGGGTCATCCTGCGATTATCATGTTAAATAAAATAATATTAAGTTTTAAATGCCATTAAATAAATAATAAAATGATTTAATAAAATGTAATTTTCTTCCCGAACTAACTCTCGTAAATACAAGACAAGCAAGATTTATCCATCTTCGAAACTGCTAATAATTATTTCTGTTAATATATTCTCATCAGAAAAGAGGGCCAGCCGAGAGAAAGCTGCTCCTTAACGATTGATTAAGAGATCATGGTTTCAAATCCAATAAACATTCTGCTTTATGGTAAGAATATGATTTTTATTTTATTTTTTTAAATTTTATATTCTCATGAGATTTTCTATAAGCTACCTTGATGGTTTGACGATTCCGCTAACATCTTTAAGAATATGAATTTTTCTCTTCTTGGAAGGTGCAAGGTGAAACAAGCCCAGAATAGTCTGTCAAACACAACAAAAATGGATCAAAAACAATTATATATATGGGATGGGAAGAATTCGTTTACAAATTTTTTTTATAAAATTTTACAAATTACACTGTGTACTCCCCGGGACAACATAGTATAGTTTCTGAAAATTTGTAAACAAAAAGTTTGTAAATATAAACCTTCCGCATATGGAACAACGTTAATTAATACTCTCAAATTTAGTTAAATAATAGACACGATATCACCAAACGTATAAAAACATATATACTGTAAATGCTGGTGCAGAAATCATTCTTGTTTTTATATCAGGGGAAAATAAAAATAAGGTTCTTCAATCACTGTAGTTTTCATTTTAGAGAGAAAAAAACGAAACAAGCACACCTCGAAAGTGTTGAGAGTGACATTAAGTAAGGTAGGTAATGCTCTACTTCCAACACGAACATCTCCCTCCACTGATAATTTCTCGTACCGGACTTCAATTTTTGGAATCTTAATCCCCGCCCTATTGTAACAAATGTAAACACAGTCAGTAAAAATTTAGCGGCAATAAATAATAATAATAATAATATAGTAAGAGATATATATATTCATAGATAATTCACCTATCAATTCTGTCTCTGACTCCACGCAGGAATTTTTCATTGTCTTTCTCTACAATCTTTAGCATTCTCTCCATTAGTAGCTTCTTGTCCTCCAACCCAAGCTTGGTAACATCAACTTGGCAATGAACAACGTTTCCATTATCAAGCATTAGTCTCAGAACCCCTATTCTCATGCGATCATACGTAGGCAAGCGCTCTATAGCAGCCCATTTGAGGTCCTCCTCGTTATCCTCTTGGGTGTTTCCACCCCTTTTGTTGAACACCTCATGAGGAGATCCTCCCGCCGTCCATCCCGTGAAACTCGCCGACGGCCAGCTCCGGTGACTTCTTTTTGCTTTGGCCAAATCATTCCTCGCCGATATCGATGATGTTGACGCCATTTTAGTTTCTATAAACGATCTCACTGATGATAGCAAAGGACTTCAGATGAATAGCAGAGTTACGTATATCTCAAATATATATATATATAACATGCCCTATGCACTTCAAGTTTGAAAGTAGAGGCAGGAGAATTAGTGTAGAGAAGGTGATGAAAATTTGACTTTGTGTATGTGTCATATGGATACATGCGTGGCGCGTCTGAGAGATAGCTATGAAGAATGTCCGTTTCATTCAACGCTTTGAATCTTTGACTGCATGGTGGTCCAAATATCAAGACATTCATGTGGGAAAAAAAAATATTCTAAACCGAGATTTTGTTCAAAATGGGTAAAAAAAAGAATTTTCTATAATGTTATTTTTAATTCAACTATTAATTAATATATTTTGTACTTGTACACTTTATAAATAAAGTCACTTTAGAAATATTTTATGTAATCATGATCTATGTTGCACCCGACACAGACACTGATACAGGACACGATACGACATGTTAATTTTATAAAATGTTAGATTACGATATATTAGGATATATTTTAATATTAAATAATATTTTTAATTTATGTAGTGTATATTATATTTAATATTCAATAATTTAACAAAATAAAAAGAGAGAATAAACTTATAATATCCATCAATTTTATAAAGAAACATAAGATATCATAAATATTTATATTAAACTCAATGGTTATTGTAATTCAACAAATCTAACGGTTGGAATAAAAAAAACAACGCAATTTTTGAATTTTTTTTAAATTTCAAAATGAATGTTAAAATATTGAAGAGTATCGGAATATGATATATTAGATTTTTAAAGTGTTGATGCATTAATATTTACCAACAAAAATTACCATGAGGGGATCTAGAACATATGTGATGTGTGATAATTATGAAGACAGAACCGTTTGACCTAATAACTGTGCGGTCAAGTAACTTTTTTCTGAATTAATTTTTTTTGTGAAATTGACTGCATTAAATTTAGTAGATAGAAAAATGGAATAAAATATTAAAAAATGCTATAGAATGCTCTTGAATTATCCGGTGCCCCAAGTATCTCATTGGTTGAAAAAAAAAATACCCCAAGATTTTAAGATGTGGGCATATTTAAGATTTGTTCTAACTGCATAGTATTGTTTTATTGGAAGTTGCTGGAAGTCACGAATTGAATTCGATCAGTTCATTTTCTGGCGGATAAATTTTTATTTTTATTTATTATTTTTAAATTTTATAACTTAGTCATGTATATGTATAATGTTTAAATTTATACATTTTATTTTTTTAAATAATTTATACATTTTATTTAAATAAGAGTAGTTCTAGAGCCGATTGCACTTCAGTCATTTCAACTATGTTTTAATTGTTACAGCACTTTAATTTTTTAATGTTAGACGAGAATTGTTATCTCATATCTTGATTTTAACGAGTGATAATTCCATATTTATTAAAAAAATACATACAAATCGAATGGTCACAATATAAAATAACACTTATCATATAACATGAAAAATAATTTTTTCATTATTATATCTGCCACATCATCATTTCAATATGTTGTTGACTCTCTCACGTCATCTTTTGCCACATGAGCATATTCGCAATGAGACAAAGACTAAAATATTAATGATTAGATTAAGTTGGTGCAAAGGAGTTAAGTTTATACTATACGTTACAATATTTTTAGTTGTTTAGTATGATCATTGTATAGTATAAGCTTATACAGCAGAACTCCTCAATATATCAAAATGATGTGTAACTTAATCATGGCCTAAGGAGGTGAGATTAGGCCTGATAAGAGATTGATGTATTAATATTGCTTACAAGTACAATTCTCAAGAACTAATATATCATTTCATTATTAATATATTAAAATAATTTTTTTAATATATTAATTTTTAAAATATTAGAGGATATTATTTTATACAATACCATACCAAACGCTGGATGATATTAAAATTTAATCAGGTCTTATACTATTAGACCTTATCCAATACTATGCACCAAACATGCCCTAAGTGTATAGGAAAAGATCTCGGTTTTTTTACTAATGCCATTTCGGAAAAGGGCATAAAACCTTAATTTTTGATCCATCTCGCACTCGATATTAGTCTTATAGCCAGTGTAAAAGGATATGTGGGATCCATATTTTCTTTTTCTCTTTCTTCTTTTCACATAGGTTCACATATGGGTCTCACACATTTTTATGTGTGTGTAAGAAATAATTTTATCTCCTATAGTACAAGAAACATCAAACACTACAAATAATAGTGAAAAAAAATTTGTTAGCTAATAGAGAGAAATTTTCCTAACTCATTGTTTTATGTTTATAATATTTTAATATATATTGAAAAAGAAATTATTTTGAATTTTAGCACAAATTCAATTATATAAGAGTTTAATGATATGAAAAAACATTCAGCAAGAGTTAAGTGAACTAATTTTGATTTTTATATAATTTTTTAAACTTTTTATATTGAGTTCATAGTTATTGTAAATTTTTTATTTTTTTTTATTTTCACCCCTCATCATAAAAATTTCTGGATGGCCACTATACTTGTTTTTTAGATTGTTGAATTTTTTATTTTCTACATATCTTTTTACCTTTGTTGAGTATTTCAATCCTCGTTAAAACAAACTTTTTAAGAAAATTTTCGGTAATATTATATCGTTTTTATTTCTTCTTATCAAATAAACTTCTAAATGGCTTGACCATCATCAGAATTCAGTTAATTTCTGGGAAGATAAATGACTTGACCATCATCAGAATCTTGCTCGCGGTGCTGTGGGATCTATTGAGCCAGCGGATAGGGTGAAAAAAGTCAGTGCTTATGTATCACAAGATGGGGAGTGGGATGTTGAAGCACTGCGTAATCTCATCCCAGCTGATACTATTCAAACTATTAGGAGCTTGCTTCCTCCACATGCATCAAATGGTGCGGATTGTATGATATGGAAGCTTAATAAGTCGAATGATATATCAGTGAAGCTTCTTTATTTTGCTTTGATGAACCATGACTATGATGGGACCCAACTTATTTGGAAATCATGAATATACTAGACTAATTATAAATGCAAGTCATTTACCTGAGCAATAGAAAGATTGATCCCAAACAAGATTTCGATAGCAAGTGGAAGCATAATTATTTCATGGCATTCAACAAATTCGTTCAGGTGATAATTTGGCAGATTTATTTACCAAGGCATTACCTACTTCAAGTTCTAAGATACTTTTATACAAGATCGGGATGCGTAAACTCAGAGATATTAAATAAAGTTATCGTCAGGGGAGTGAAATACGTGCTGCACTATTTTTTCCTTCACCATGGTTTTGTCCCATTGGGTTTTCCTGGTAAAGTTTTTAATGAGACAGCTTCTCATACATATTTTTTCTCAATTGGATTATTGGATATCCAACGGGGAGTGTTATAAACAATTTATGGCTGTCCATATCCGTTATAACTGTTGGAGACGTTATGACTGTTGGAGATATTACGACCGTTGGAGAATATTTCAGTTATTGTAACTTTCATGTTTTCCGAGCCTATAAATAAGGCATCATTGTAATATGAGAAGACAACAAGAATACATTCCCCTATCACTCTTATCTCTTCTCTTCTAGTTATTATTTATTTTACAACAATAATAATATTTTTTTCACCTTATTACATATGATGTATTCCAATTTTATTTATATTTTTAATTTTAAAGATGAAGACCAGAACCTAGGCTATCTTTTTTGGAAGTTCAGGAATTTGATACCGCAGGCAAACACGAACAAGAAGAGCATAACCCAGCCTACATGAGCAGCAGCAACCACCGGAAGGAAGTCATGGTCAAAACCCAAGTTTTCTTTAAGAAAAGACTTCAAGCCCATATTCACAGCTCCTGGAATTTCCAGTTCAGCATTTATGTCACCCAGTTGAGAGGTAACAAGGCCATAGACTGTCCAAGCAATAGGAGAAGCCCAATAGTACCATCTCCACCACACAGGGATTTGCTGTATCATTTAGGAGAAAAATATAAGTTTAGATTTGCAAAAAGAAAGAACCCCATTTCAAGAATCAAATTATGAATTATGTACCAAAATGGCAGGGCACTTACTGTCCTGGGAATGAGAAAGCCAGAGAACAAGTTCCAGAAACTCAAGAAGAATGACATACAAATAGCAGCAATTTGGTGATTTGGGGTTAGTGCAACAATCATCATCCCATACAACGTGAAGTAGATAAAACACATTAGTATGTAATAGTAGAACCAAAAGAATTTCCCTGCCTTCCATTCAAACCCAATCATTGAGTAAAGGAGGAGAGAGTAAATGGCTGTTTGAATTGCGTTATAAATTGCCTCTATTGCCACCTGCAGAAACAGTGAAGTGCATTTAGTTTTGAGTATTTTTCTCCTCCCCAGGAACAATGCATCTATCAACAAACCTGTCTAATAAAGATACATCATTTTGTTTACCAAAAAAAAAAAAAGATACATCATTTTTGAAACATAATAAACCTTAGTACTTCAGCTTCAATGAAAAGCAAAATTGAATTTATTGGGATTTTGTTAGAATTTATCAAGAGGATGTCTTTATTCGTTAGTATATACCATTTTACATCACCTATGGAGCACCGACACTTTAAAAACTCTGATGTGTCGTATCCGACACTCTCGGACACTCCGACACTCCAACACGCATTATAGAAATTCAAAAAGGTTCAAAGATTACGTTGCGTTGAGTTTTTAGTTCCAACTATTAGATTCATTGGATTACTATTACCATTTTATTGAGTTTAATGTGCAAAATTTATAAATATTATAAGTTTAGATTCATTTTTTTGTTAAATTATTGAATATTAAATATAATATATATTATATAAATTAAAAATATTATTTAATATCAAAACGTGTCCTAACGTGTCGAAATCTAACATTTTTTAGAATTAACGTGTCGAGTGTCGTGTCGTATCGTGTCACGTACCAGTATCGGTGCTACATAGTATATCACCACCCTACGTAAGAGAGATTAACTTATGTCTCACTTCTTTTACATTTATACCTGGCCAAGTGCATAGGATAGTGCAGAATACATCGCCGCTGCTTTTTCACGATACAAGACAGTTCTTTCTATGTCAACAACTGGTAGCACTCCCGTGGTGTTCATAGCTCCAAGGAAAACCACAGCAGCGTACATGGCTCCCAAGAGATTGAATACATCTTGTTGTTTTTTTCTGCCAACCAAATTAGTTCAGCAAACATCAATAGTCAATATTAACTCGAAATACAAGTTTAAATGTGCAGGGTTATAAGAATACAAAACACAATTGATAAGACATGATAGGGAAATAATCTCTGTGTTTTCAAGAATATAGAAGAATCTTGAATATGAAAATGTTAAAATCTTACATCATTTTGGCTTTATTCCAGAATATTAGACCAAATATTACTCCAATGACTAATGTCAAGAACAATCGGATGGCAATATACTGAGGATTTCTCCAGTAGGACCAATGTTGTTTCCAGAAACAAGCTTTGAGCTGTACAAAAAACGACTGAGAATATCTTGTTGAGAAGAACAAGTCCATGGAACCAGGTAATGGAGTACTGAGCTCTTTGATAAGTTCTTGATTCCTCCTGAAGGAAGTACAGAGAACATAGTTATAAACCTAAAATTCTTGTGACGTATAGCCTTCAAAGTGGTAACATAAATCAGAAGGAAAAGACTTACTGGTAAAGGGTAGAGTTAGCATAAATCTCAGCAAAATCTACATCAAGTTGAGCCTCAATTGAAGGAGTGCTGATCTCTAGCATCCATGTAGCAGGATTATAACCATCCTTGATTTTTGGAACCCCTGCAATAGCCTGAAACAGAAAATTTATATTTGAATGATACGGATAGTTAGACAGCACTTAATTGGTTCAAGCATAACAGAATGGTCAGAATCGTAAAAGGAGTTAGAGGATATTGATTACAAGTAGTAGATTAATTAGTAGTTGTGATCTGATATCATATTCAGTTAGCTGATATATGCAGCATTGTGTATGAACTCAGATATAAATAGTGATGTATGTACTGTGATGGAACCAAGCAAGAGATAATAAACACAATTCCTTTTGTTTTATTTGATTCTTTCTCTCTGTTAGATGCTCCATTCCTAACATAAAACTAACTGAAACTTTTCCAGCTGAAATTAATCATAAGCAGCCCATTGTGCTCAAATTGATGTTGATATATGAACAGTTTAGACGACAGTAAAATAAAAGCTTCAATACTCACCTCAAAATATTCTACAAGCTTATGTGAGTGACGACCAAGAGGCCCAGCATAAATGACTTGTCCTCCTCTTTTCATCAACATTAGCTATAAAGGCAATAACAGAGGAATCAAATTTGAAGATAACTGTAATGCACGAAATCTTCTAAAAGCTTCAGTTAAGTGAATGCACATAAATTATTGTACAACACGTATCTTCATGTATAAATAGTTTTATATCTAACAATATAGATAAATAATTAAAAGATAAAAAACAGATTACTTGTGAACTCTAAGATCTTCAGAATACAAACTTGCCTCATCAAAAGCTTCGAAAATTTCTGTGCTTGGTTGGTGAATCGTGCACACAACGGTTCTCCCAGTGTCTACTGTATTTCTCACAGTTCGCATAACAATAGCAGCAGCTCTTGCATCAAGGCCAGATGTTGGTTCATCCATGAAGATGATTGAAGGGTTGGCAACCAGCTCTACAGCAATAGTAAGCCTTTTCCTTTGTTCTGTTGATAGACCATCCACGCCTGGAAGCCCCACCAGAGCATCTCTGATTTGTTTAAGCTCAACCAATTCCATAACTTCTTCGACAAACATCTGCAACATCAATAGAAATACAACTAAATCAAAATTCTATTGAGAAAGAGTTGCATTACGAACATAGTTAATTGTTCATGGCCATGAAGACAAAGTTTGTTCCAACACACCTTTCGCGTTTGTGTTCTAACATCTGACGGAAGACGAAGCCACGCTGAGAATAAGAGCGATTCGTAGACTGTAACATGTGGAGAATGAATGTCATTCTGTTCGCAGTAACCGCTAACTCGAGCAAATGTTGCTTGATTCTTTGGATAACCTGATATACTGATAGTTCCTTCAATGTAACCACCTGTTTTTCTTCCAGCTAATACATCCATGAGGGTTGTCTTTCCAGCACCACTAACACCCACAAGTGCTGTCAATATGCCTGGTTTGAAAGCACCACTGACATCTCGTAGCAGTTGAAGTCGATCTTCATGAATTCCTTGACTCTTCATTTCCTGGTGTGATAAAACAAAACCAAAAGCATTGGAAGGCCTACTTCACGGGATGTTTGAAATTCAACTTTTCTATGAAAACTCCAATGATTTGATAAGAACTTATGTACATGATTCCATGTGAAAACAGAAAATAGCATATTAGTTACGCAACCAAGAAAGCTGAAATTGGGATATTGAAGTGCGATAAAGTCCTACATTTGATGGCAATGGTTACGTAAAGATTATATAAATGGGAGGATCCATAAATCTAAGACATGGTGTCATTGTTTTGTAAAGCATAAGGACAAAAAAGAGAGGAAGAAAGTGGAAATGAGGGAAACATATATATAACAGGATTTTATTACATTCAATATATAGTTATCAAGTAAATCCAACAGATAGGTACTATTCTGAAAGTGATGATACAAGACCAATAAAGTAGGTCCAATCCACAAGGAGTTATTTCTTAATCATATACAACTCATGAGGGGTAAGCACAAAAAGAATGAACTTCTTATAATAGTGACTTACAGCGGGCATATCTACATAGTAGCTCACTCCATTGAATGCAACTGAAAGAGGTTGAAAGGGCAGAACAATTCCTTTTTTTGGTTCTTGATCAGAAGAACCAGTAATTTCTGAAGAACTTTTCACTGCCATGTCTATACCTGTAATTTATTGGAAAGGTGATGAATTTCATGAAAACATTGTGCAACTAAACTTCACTAAAAATGTTGCTACACTGCAAGAATAGAATCTGTACTGGAAAAACTCATTAGTAGAGCTGGTTTAATCAAATTACTTATTGTTTCTCAACCACAATCAATGCTGCCGATAAGATATACCCAGGATATCTATAAATAACAATAAAACTGCACTTGAAATCACCAAAGGAATTACGGAAAAAGAACAAGGTATTAAAACCTTCAATGATATGCTGTCCAGAGGTTGACTTTTCATTCTTCTCGTCACCTTCATCCACGATGATTGTTTTTGAATCACCGAAAGCTGAAATTTTGGTTTGATATCACAAGGGTTTACTCATGCTGAAAATTCCATTCAGTTATGGACTTATATGATAAAAAAGATATAACTTACGATTCAAATAAGTCAATGCAGCAATGAAGAGAAGGTTGTAAAGAAGAGCAAACCCAAACAATGCTCCAATGCATATCCAAAACCAATAATCTTCTGTATAAAACCCTCCGGACTTGAGAAGTAATTTTCCAACTGTAGGTGCATCAATTCTTGAATCTGTATTTGGCTGCAAAATGTGTAAATTTGACAATGGTTAAGGTTAATGGAAGTAATTTAGGCTCAATGCAAATTTGTCTTTGAATTTGCAAGTAAGTATCACAGGCAGTGAAAAACAAGAATGAGAAGAGTGATTTCTTACTTTACTCCATCTTTCATCTAAAAATTCGTTTATTACAATGGCATTCTGACCATACATCATAGGAGAAACATAATAGCCCCATATCATCCATGGCTTAATATCATCTGCAGAAATATATGAAAACATGTTGAACTAAGTAATTGCTTAAAGCCTCAAACTATATAACATGGGCGGAAAAAAAAGATATTTAATCAAATATTAAAATATAAAAGTTTCCTTAAATTATAAATTGGTTAGTTATATGATGATGGTGGATAATGTAAATGCAACCATTTTAACCTAAAATGTTAAAGTTGTTAGGTGAAGGTCATATTAGTGTGCTTTTATATTATATTTTTCTAACACATTCACTCACACTATAGTGACTATAGTGAGCTCACTGGACTTGAAGGGAGGATGATTCCATAATATTTATTTATTTGTTAATAAAATGAGGGGTTGTGAGGATCAAACTTGGTCACATAGGCTCTGATACTATGTAATTTAACCATTTTAACCTAAAAGCTTAAGGTGTTAGGTGAATGCCATATTAATAGTTTTATGTTATGTTTTTCTAACAGATAGTTACAAACTACTTTTTGATGACCACTCATGTATCGTTATGTGATCCAGTTGTGCAACCCGGTAAGGAGGCTCACTGATTAATATGGTAATCATGCTACAGGTACTAGTGTAAGGGAACCAAAAATCTGTTATCGTCAGTCTATGGATGATAGGGGTGGATTCGCCTCGTAACTGCGGAGAGAAGGTAGTATGTGGAGGCCTCCAGAAAGCTGAAGTGCATGGGATGAGTGAGAAGGAAGCGATCCGTGAATGAGCCCAAAAAGTCCTATAGTTTGGTGCACAAGCACATTTTGTGCTACCAGTGGCGGAGCCACTTGGGAGTTAGGTGATGCCTTGACACCAGCTAATTTTTAAAAATGGTACAATTTTTCTTTGAAAATTATGGTATAGCTTTAGCACTAGTTGAGTTTTTAAAAATAATACAACTATGACACCAGCTGATTGGGTCTTTTGCACCTGCAGAGTTTTTCTTCTGGCTTTGCCACTATGTGCTACACAGGTGGTTAGAAAATATTTGAGAATGTGTGACGTGGCATGAAAACCTTGCAGGCGTATGTGTGTGTGAGGGGAATCACATCTTTAACATTGGAAGATGGTTATTTGCGTAAAAGATAGGAGATATTTTGTGATAAGAAGATTTTATTCTGTTGTGAAAAGAGGAAAATGAGCCGTATAAAGGCAATACTTGAGTCCAGAACATTATGCATTCTTACTTTTCGTAGTCAAATTCAAAACATATGCTCTGGTACTAAATGGTGTTGCTCCTAAAAACAGAAGTGATCAGGGAATTACCCTTGGCGATGATAAAACCTCCTAGCACAAATACCATTTGCAAGGTCAAGGCACCTAGTATACCAGCAACGGTTACTGTTCTACCAGCTGCAGCAATGAAACGAAAAAGAGAGATAGCCATCTGATGAATGCCAAATAAGGCCAGCAGTTGGCGGAAGAATCTGATGAAATAGAGCGACACGTGTGAATTAAGGAATATTTTTTTTCACTCTATTCTCAAAAAATAATTATCACCACCAAAGCTAAAACAAAAATATTTCCAAAACTGATTTAAGCTCCTTAGCCAAGTTGAGCAAGAAAACGCAAACACATACTACCTGTTAGCAGCAGGAGCAAATCCGATTGTATAGTATGCAATGAAAATCCATATCGCTGATTCCACAAGAGAGAGAGGGATCCTGAGAACCCATATAGGTAACCCAAACGCCCATGCAGGATAGAACATGAAATCCCTTTGTTTGTAAAAGACAGGAAGCCTGATAACGGTCATGGCTAGTTCTGCAGTCCCGTTAAACATCATATTTGTTAGGCTAAAATATAGTGCTCCGAAGAATTTTCGTCCATCTTGAACGTTGCCTACTGGCATTTTGGTTCTAAAAAACACAGAAAAGGCTAAAATAGACATGATTGTTATCTGAGTTGTCTTGAATATATAAACAAATGAGTCACGCTTCATAAAAAGCCATTCTCTTGAAAAGCATGCCTTCAATAGTTCCCAGTTTGACAAACCGTATTTGTCTTTCACTAAGGCAGCTGGGTGGGTTTTTCTCCTATCATAAGGAACCCCAAGATCAGTCGTAAGTTGCTCTCCTATGGGAAACGAATGAAAGGACTCAACAAATTCAGGAACTGAAACATATCTGTAAGGTTCATCTTTTTTAAACCAATATTGTTGTTGGTCTTTCTTAGACGTTACTTCTTGTAAAAAATCAGCAACTCCTTTTCTTTCAGGACATTTGAAACCCATGTTTTCAAAGAACTCTAGCACGTCCTCACGGGGACCTTGGTATACAATTTGACCTTCTGAAAGTAGGATAATGTCGTCAAAGAGTTCAAAGGTCTCTGGTGCAGGCTGTAGAAGAGAAATCACAGTGGTTACATCCATGATATGAACCATTTGCCTCATGAACTTGCATATCTGAAAAGTGGTAGAGCTGTCCAATCCTGTTGATATTTCATCCATAAAGAGTGCCTTTGCTGATCCTACCAACATCTCCCCTACACGGAGATTGACCACAAAAGTACTTAGTATAAATTAATAATTGACATTAAAAGCTGGCAGAGTTATATTTACAAATTTTTTATTTACAAACTCAATTATGTATTCTGAGCAATATACAAGACATTATATAAGCGTTGTAAGAAGAATAGCACAAGTAGCATAGCTCCCAGCTAGAAAATTACTTTTTATTTATTTAAAACATGGGTTTTGAAGGTATCCTGAACTTCTTGAATATAACTTCACGAGTCAATTATCAGACGTCTTGAATTAATTATTTAATTACTTCAGTTCATTGCTTATGCGTCTAATAGAGAAGAAATTAACCTGTGGTCACACGCTTCTTCTGCCCACCGGAGATACCCCTTCTCATGTCATCACCAACCATTATGTCCGCACAAATATCCAACCCAAGTATCTGTCAGAATATAATAAAAGTCAGCTTATACAAAGTGGAAAAAAATAGAAGCATAAAGGTAATATTAATAATTGAAGTCGATACAACAATGGCACAAACCTTGAGAACATAATCTGTTACCAAACTTGTTTTTTGGCCTGACAATGCTATAGCCTTCACGAATGCATCAATCTCAGGGTCCGGATTAATTCCAGCATCTCTCTCCCTTCTTGAAAGTTCCACCAACATTTCATACCTGGTGCCAACACCCAGACAGCGTCCTGAAAAATCTAATATCTCTCTCACTGTCATTTGTCCAAACTGAAGGTCATGTTGACTAATATAGGCACAAGTTTTTTGAGGAACAAATTCAGTGAGCTCATGGCCACAGTATGTAATTCTCCCATAATCCTGCTCATAACATTAAGTTCATTGTGTTATTAAACAAAATTACACACTAACATGATAACAAGTAAACTTACTGGAAAACTAGACAGCCAGGGAGCTGGTAATTTTGTTGGATAAGTAGAAAGGTTTGATCTTTCTCTATTTCTCTCTCTCTCTTTTTGATTGAATTCGGTGAGCAGAGTTAAAAAAAAAAAAAACAGGGTTCTTCTATCTAGCCAATTTTTTTTTTATATATATATATAACACATGAGGTAATTCTGTTCGGGATGCATACGACAAGACTTTAAACCTTTTTTAAAAATGATACTGATGAGATCAAACATTTACTTCCACCTTTTAATTTCTCATGGGCGAAGTGAATTACTATCATTTTGGTCTATCTAACCAATTTTTGATTGGATAGTTTATGGTCTAACCAGTTTACTCCGGGTCCAGTTCATACTATTATGCTGAAAACAACAAAGAAAATCAATAAAAAATATTAATTGAAGAAAGGAAAACATACCCTTAAATTCCGGTCAAGTTTCCCCGCAAGCGCCAACAACAACGTTGTTTTCCCAGCCCCTGGAGGACCCAAAAGTAAAGTCATCCTGAAATTTTCATATCAAATAAAATAAATATTAGTTTCAAATGTCATAATTTTTGTTTCCCCTAAGTAATAACCTACTACTAGAATGGGTCCTGATAAAGTTCAAGACTTTTTTCACCGGAGTGGATCTTTTTATGTTAAACAAAATATGATATGGTTATGAGGGGAAATTATAATCATACAAGTGAATTCATCTATCAACATGAAAGAGGTAATTTTTTTCAATGTATGGTTGTAATTTCGTCTTATATAATATTTTATTATGTGAAATAGAATCGAAGGGGGATGAGAAAGCTAACAAAGCTCCTTGATGCTAAATAAAATTGGCAAAATGATTTTTCATCTATCAACATGAGAGAGGTAATTTTCTTTTTGATATTAAAATTATAATCTTGCATAAATTGCACTTCCGGAAACGACTGCCCTGTTCATCCATCTTAAAAACTGACAACCATAGCCGGGGAGGTATCGGCGAGCCAACTCTCCAGTAATTAGGATTCAATTACCTCTGAAAAAAAAAATACTGACAACCATTTATTCTTTGCTAAAAATTGATAAAAAGAATTATGGCGCTCTGACATTTTTTTTTTCCTTTTAATGTTTAGATATTACGTTGAGATATTTTATACAGTTCGAAAAAGCTACCTTGATGGTTTGACGATTCCACTAACATTTTTAAGAATCTGAATTTCTTTCTTCTTGGAAGGTGCAAGGTGAAACAATCCCAACATACTCTGTCGTGCACAACAAATGAATCAGCTTGAAACAGCATTAATACTCTCACAAATTCTAAAAGCCACACAAACCGAATCAACAACATATACAACACACCGTCAAAACCTGTGCAGAAAGCACCCTTGTTTTATGTCAGAAAATAAGGTTCTTGAATCACTATTACTGGTTTAGATTTTAGAGTAGAAACAAACCTCGACAATGTTGAGAGTAGCATTAAGCAGGGTAGGAAGGGCTCTGCTCCCAACATACACATCTCCTTCCACTGATAAATTCTCATAACGGACTTCGATTTTCGGAACTTCAATCCCCACCCTGTGTGTTGTAACAAATGCAAACCGTGTCAGAAAAGATAAATAAATAAGAGTAATTAAGAATAAAAGAAAAAAGAGAGAAACATTAATATTAAACACCTATCGACTCTGTCTCTGAGACTGCGTAGGAATTTCTCATTGTCTTCTTCAACAACCTTTAATATGCTCTCCAATAGCACCTTCTTATCGTGCAAGCCAAGCCTCGTAACATCGACTTGTTTATGGACAACCATTCCATCATCAAGAACTTGTCTAAGCACCACATTTCTCATGCGATCAAAAGTTGGCAAGCGTTCTATGGCAGCCAATTTGAGTTCCCGTTCGTCATCCTCTGGTGTGTGCCGACCACTGACGTTGAATACGTCCGGCGACGCTGTCCACACCTCCCTGAAACTCGCCGAGATCAAGCTCCGGCGATTGCTTGTTGATACGGCTAAATCATCCCTCACCAATGGCGATGCCATTGCTTTTATTTTCTGAAACAATCAACTAACGAATAGAGGAAGAGAAAGAGTCGCGTCTATCTCACTTATACAACATATGCACAAAAAATAGGTGTCTCCCCTCCTTTTTCAAGTTTTTAAGGAGAGAAAGTGGAGTAAATTTGAGTGCAGTGACAAAATTAATATTGAGAAAGATGAGATAATACAACCTGGAATTAGTAAATTAAGAGTGTGCATTTAGGGCATGTTTGGTGGATAGTATAGGATAAGGCGTGATAGTATAAGACCCGATAGTATAAGGTCTGATTGTATAAGACCTGATTGAATTTTAATACTATCCAGCGTTTGGCACGGTATGTATAAAATAATATATTGTATAAGATAATATCATCTAGTATTTGGTAATGCACTGTATAATATATATATATGATAAAAATAAATATTTTTAATAAAAATATCCTTTAATAAAGAATTTATATAATTCTTCAAAAAATATCATATGATATTAATTTTTACAAAAATTTATTGATCAGTATGTTCAAAATATAAATTAATTTTTATAAAAATAAAAATATTCAGTATTTTAAAAATTAATATATTGAAAAATTAATTTTTATTTTAATATATTAATATTAAAATAATATATTAATTTTTGAGAATTATATTGGTCAACGATGTTAATACATCAATCTCTTATCAGACCTTATCCCTCACCCTTAGGCCGAATTAAGTTATACATCGTTTTGATGTATTAAGGGATTATGCTGTATAAGCTTATATTATACGATAGTCACACCAAATAACTAAAAATGTCATGACGTATAGTATAAACTTATACTATCATGCCTTATACGTCACACCAAATAGACCCTTAGTATAATATTAACTCTGGTTATTGAATTAAGGAAATAATATTATTAAGAAAATTATCTGTAGATAGACATATAATGATACATGAATATTATGTTCAAGATCTATATTAAGACAAAGAGGCGAAAGGATTTCCTTTTGTTTGGGCTTATAAAAAAAAAAAAAAATTATCTCTTTCTTATTTTAGAAGTATTTTTTATAAAAATTAAAGCTATTTATATTTTTATAAAAATATTTAGTTTTTGAAAAAAATATTTGACTTTTAACTTCTACATTTTTTAGAAGTTAAAATTTTTAGCTTCTAAAAAAAATAAATTTTTGACTTTTTTGTGATTTCTGTTTTTTTTTTTTAAAAGCAGACATCCAACCAAAATTAAAGTGAAAATTACTTTTTTTTCTTGAAAAAAAAGTAGCTTTTAGAGAAAAAAAAAAAAAAAGCTCATCCAAACGGTCATGATACAAAGAGGCCATAGAATTTTTCCCAATTTGGCAAGATTTTATTCCCTTCCAGAAGATCGGTCTCCTTTTATGACTTTGTTTCGACATTTTGTTCAAAATAAGACATTTTTCAAAATGATTTATTAAAATGGAGTATTTAAAAAATTATTTAGTGATATTAGATAATTTACCCGCATGACAATTATTTTTTTTTTTAACTCATACCACATAAGGAGTGCATCCCATTAGTCTGATTTTGGGTGGGAGTATCTTATACAATTCTCAAGAATCAAACCTATTATTCTATGGGATATCAAATCCAGCGTGTTAATTAGGATCTCACTATACCAACAACTTTTTGGTCAATGAAAATATTTTCCTCACTGAATAATACAAACTATTAAAATTCAGTGTAAGAGTGTAAATATGTTAGATTTTGCCTTAAAAATGCCATGTGTGAATAAAATATTTTAAATCTGGCCTGGACTGTTAGTTTTATATAGATCCAAATTATAAGTTTGATCTGATCTATATTGTAAAAAAAATAAAAATTACCTTGACCTGTTAGCCTATTTGAGCTTATTAGGCATTTAGTAATTAAAATAATATTATTTTATTATTCAAAATTATTAAAATAATAATTTTTTTATTTTATTTAAAATAAATAATATGATATAGACCAGTCTGTAGACTTACAATCTTGGCATGTAAAAGAAATAGGCTTTTTTGAGGCATGAGCATGCTCGATTTGATTACATGTAATAGGTCAGGTCGGTTTATACTGCTATAATTTAGTGTGTCACTTATTAAATTTGGTAAAATTTAACATATATTTATTCTATTTACTTCTTTATGCTTAATATCACTTGATTCCATTTTTTTAAAACTTCATGTTAAAATATGTTTAATATTAATTTATGATATTCATTAAATGTTGTAATAATTTTGAACATTTTTTAAAGATTTGTGTAATTATTAATTATAACTTAAAAATAAAAGATTTTGTCACATGTCCGTTAAAATTCAATTTTATTTTATTTTTTTGAAATCTAGGGAAAAGAAAACAAATAGCTACATAATCTGGGTAGACAAACACTGATTGAGTCCCTAACAACTAAATCTAAATGCATACAACTAAATAAAAGCAAACTCAAGTCAAGGCGATGTCCATGATTTGCAAGCCAATTAGTAACATTATTTCCTTCTTCTTTTTTCTTTTTTTCACTACAATAAAGGGGCAGAGCCCAACAATATTTCCTTCTTCGTAGGTGTGCAATACTTGAATCAACCAATCTTTTTGGAGAGTGTCTCTGATACGATTAACCAAGACAGCGGCAGGATGAGCGTGTTACATTCTTTATGAATAAGATTAGGAGGGTAAATAGGCAACGTTATATTAGACTTTGACTTAAATAGTTTAGGTACCTATAAAATATTTTAGGGTTAATTTGACCTGTTAACTTTATATAGGTTCAAATTATAATTCTGACTTGATCTGTCTTTAAAAAATAAAAATTTTATTCTAGGTCTGTTAATCTGTTTAAACCTATCAAATATTCAATAATTAAAAAAAATGTAAAATAATATCACTCTATATTCAAAATTATTAAAATAATAATTTTTATTTATTTTATTTAAAATAAATAATATAATATAAGCTGACATGTAGACTTATTGACCCGACATATAAAAAGAATCTATAACCTGTCTTCTAAATAGACTTTTTTAAAAGTCTAAGTATGCTCTATTTTTCATTATATTTAATAGACTGACTCTGATTAACCCCTGTAGACTGGGTGACTCAGCTCATTTACACCCCTAAATAAAATCGATCCAATATTGTGAGAGTCTCCCTTCAAGCCAAACTATATGGTATCCGTGATCTCAAGCAAGGTTCAAACCAATGAAGCATCCCCATAATTCATAATTCAGCTAGTAAGGTGTTGCTAGTGCCAAGATATTTTTAAAATCCTATTAACCAATGGTCTGTTATATTGGAGCCCATCCCAAAGATGTTTCTGATTGGTGCGTCTGGGGATCCCATAGATGAAAGTTGAGAGTTCTTCCATTCCCCCCTTCACCCACCTTAGCTTAGAGTGAATGAACTGGTCCTACGCATCAAGAACTTGAATGTCTACCACTTCTTTATTCCAAATTCCATCAAAGAATCCAAATAGGAATTGAAACCAAGTTATTTGAACAACACGTCTCCCACTTATTCTAGTTTCCAGAAGTACCAGGTTACTGATACCAAATTTCCTAGATAAATTATCTTTATTAACCCAAAATTAACTCATTTTGAGGTTTGAAAAATTAATAAAGGATGTTTTGATAAAATTTATATAACAAAGAAATAAATAAAATTCTCAAAACACTCTTAATTAATTTTCTTAACCTTCGCGACCTAGTTTTAAGATTGTTAGAGATAATTTTATCTTTTTTTTTTTTTTTTTTTGGAGTTACCTAACTCTAATTATCTCTTTGAGACGAGTTGGCTCCCCCCGGTATCCCCACGAGCTTCGACTCTTTGAGCCGGCTATGGGACTAATCCGGAGTGCGGGGGAACAGTGATGGCTAAAGGTTCAGCCCCCTCCCCAAGAATGCATTCAGCGGGAATCGAACACATATCCAACCCCACTAACTCAGCGCCAAGTTACCAACTGAGCTGCACCCATTGGGTTGATAATTTTATCTTCTGTGGTAAGAGAAATAATATATATATATATATGAGTTTTATACTTCTCATGTAATATGAAAAGAGAAATTTTCCTATACACCCTTGATTTCCAGGCTGATATGGGTCTCACGCATGACTTTTTCTAACATATGGGTACCATATAACTTATGTCTCTATGACATAAGAAGACTCATTTCATGTAATATAAGAAGTATAAAACCCATAAAAGATATAACCTTCGAACTATATTATACTTCTGAAATACAAAGATGTTACATGTTGTTATGGTTAAGATTTTATCTTATTTTTTTTAGTGTTTATTTGGCATGTCTTTTTTTGGTAACAAATATTTGGCATATATTGTTTTTAGTTTCTCTTCTCCTTAAAACATAATGTTAGCCAAACATGATTTTATAAAAGCTCTTATTATAAAAAAAATTATAATGAAGAAAAAAGTTAAAAGCTCTTGAGATGAACTTTTTTTTGTGAAATATATGCCAATTTTTTTGACTCCTTATATTTATTTTACAATTTTACCCTTGTTCTAAACATCATTGTTCTAGCACCATCACTTTCTTTGCATTGTTTACAAGTACCACTTTAATGCCGAGGATCAAGTGTGTTCATGGTTTTCATAATTTTTTTTTTGTTTTTCATATAGAAAAACTCCAAAATTCATTTTAAAAATAAAGTCCTTAATAAAATATTTTTTGGTGTATCTTGTCTTGAATAGTAAAAAATCCAGGTGTGGGTTTTTTATAAAATTTTAAAAATATGTATTTTAAAAGAGGGAGGTATACTTACAACTTTTTTTTACAACCTCTTACAACCATATCTTAACACCGTTGATTTTCGCCAATCAACGGTTATCATTTATTGTGAATTAATAATTAATTAATGAGTTTAATTTGCGAAAATAATAACTGTTGATTGGCAGAAATCAACGGTGTTAAGATATGATTGTAAGAGGTTGTAAAAAAAAAGGTTGTAATTATAACCTTCCTCATTTTAAAAACTTCAAATTTCCATGTGTGGA